TCGCTTCTCTTCCTTTCATAATAAATTAATCATCATGACTCTGTGTTCTATAGGTTCCATGCATAGTTGCATTTGTCATCTATTCTTATGATTCTACTGTTTGGGTTATTTTAGGAGAAATCAATTTAGCAGTGATCGCCGTGTAGAAGAAACTTGGAATTGATAGTTTATATCAAATATACTTTATTGATAATAAATGTATGTTCATAGTATACAGAAACGCCAAAATAATGGTATTTAACAGAAAAAAAAAAATAATGCACTTTGGAGAAAAGGGAGAGGGCTTGAAAAAAATTGTCCCGTCTCCAGGAGTCCCTATGAATTTTGATACCTTTTCTGAAATTATCCAGATTTATAAAAAGAGATGGACCATTTTGTACATATACCAAGGGGAAACTTCGTGCAAAGCATTATTATTTATAGTTTAATTGAATTTAGTAGAAAAAGAAAATTTGGTGAAAATAAAACCAAGATTTTTTTAGAAAATCCACAGATTTTAAGACCGAGATTTTTATACGATTCCAATTTTTTTTTTGGGGGGGGGGATCGTATAATGGTATGATGTGGTTGTTGTCGTCTACGTCGTCCGAAGACACATTTGTAGTTTCTGGACTATTATTTGTGTGTAAGTGTATGGATCTCTCTGACATTGTACCACAAAGTTCCATATCACAAAAGGAAGGCTGGGATTGAGTTTGGGGGTAATTGCCCCATTCATGAAGGAATTCGGGGCCATAAAAGGGCCAAAAAACATTTTTTTAGTTTTTCTAGTTTTTCAGGCAATAACTTGTGTTTAAGTCACTGTATGGATCTTTCTGAAATTGTACTACAAGTTTCCATACTACAAAGGAAAACTGGGATCAAGTGTTGAGGTTATTGCTCCAAAGGGCGGGGGGGGGGGGGGGGGGGGGGGTTGTTGTGAGTTCAAAAAGTTTGCAGGTTTCCAAATTTTTAAAAGGGGTTTAATTTTTTTTTCAAAATTTTTCAAATTTTAAAATATTTCAAAAGTTTCAAGAAGAAATCTTTAATTGCACAGTATTGCCCAATAGATTTGAAAGACCTTTACACATGTTTTTTCAGAAACCTATATTATGTCAAAAATTTGATCACAATCAGGGGTTAAAAAATCCACTAGCCCGACGCCCGGGACTAGACTTTTACACTTCGGGCAATTAAAACTTGTAACCGAATATGCCCGACGGACTAGTAACAAACAATTCTTGGCATTTCCAAAATAGTAAGTGGAAAATCCCCTCAACGCTATTCTATCTTAGCCAATCAGATTCAATTACGTACGTCATCCGGGATTCCAAGAATTTGAACCGATTTTGTACATGTTTTAAAAATAGAACAACTAACTCTGGGTGGACCGGTATCATGTATTGATCGCAATTCACGTACTTTCAATATCAATTTCTCAGTACAGGGGGTATTGTACATTGCTTATGCCGAGATTTTCAATTAATGGTACTTGGTTGTATGATGTAATGATCGATATTGACCTGTCTTGTCTAACCCGAATAATTCAGTCGTTATATTCTGCTGATCTACGAAGGCTACATTAACGCCTGAACGTCTTCCTCGATAAAGACCGTCAACCGGAAAATTCACACCGCTATGCAATATGGGAATTTTGATTTAAGTTGGCAGCTAAAGAAGGAGGAGTTTCGGATGTTAATTGATGTTAAATGATGTAAACTGATGTTAATTGATGTTAATTAATTATTATCGGATTTGTGTTAATTGAACACACGTGTTTAGTAAGACAAATGTGGAACAAATGGACAGTCTTAAGTACGTTAATGTCTGGATTAATATTTCTGCAAAGACGTTGTCATTTTATTGTTTCCATTAACCGACTTAAATAAAAATCAAATTATAACTTTGTAATTATTATAAATGTTTACCTTTTGAAATAAATTTTGGTTTATTGAATATATTTACGGGAAAAACGAACTCAAATGTTTTATTTCCATGTATTTTATGACATATTAAAAAACATCTTTGTGTAAAAGAAAAATCGAATCACATCAAATTTTGATCGGCCGTAAAATAAACTTCACATCACTTTATTTATATCACAAATCAATTTACAAAAACTTCTAAAAGATGTCATAATAGAAAGCACGAGTGATCTATCTGGCGGACCAACTTGTGGCTAATGATTGACAGGTATGATTAGATCTTGAGGCTCCTATGGGGAACGTGGTGTCGAAAGGAAAATAGAAGATTATTCAATTATAATTTTTAGGACTCGTACGAAATGTGATCTGATATGGAAAATTTTGAGTTCTTTTAATAGCACAAAGAAATAAGACGTTAGAAGGGTTACAAATGTGTAACTATAAACCAATGACTCGTATGTAATTTACGGGAAAGATTTTATCAAAAGTTTGTTGAAAACTTTCAATTTCAAACCTTCTTGGTTGGAATGAATATGTTCGATTTATATGCAAATAGGTCTTTATTATATAATATATTTAAATTATCTTCATTAATTACAATACAATATATATAACATGTATCTATGATATCCTCCGTAACGACTAAATATATGTACAGGTAAAATTAAATTCTGATCAATCGGGTACAGATTGATTTACGACCTTCCACTGGTATTGCACAAGCAATATCACAGCAGGTGTTAAATACACTAGGACAAGTGTCAGATCAGTTTGACATCCTGCCCGATTACGGTATCTTCCGGAGACTCTATAAGTACAAGGACTGATTTTTTTTCTAAACATGACAATTGTGAAGAATTTTTTTAAGTGAGAACAAAGTTTCTGACCCAAACTATCGATTCACATTATGAATCTATCATGAATAGTAGATTAGTTTACGTTTTTTAACGTAAATACGATTTCCATTCATATATTAAAAAAATTGTAGTTGTCTTTTGCAAAGATAACACATGTATTCATCTTGTTCATTGGTCACATTAAAATAGATTTTTCGTTAATGAACAATGACAACATTTGATATTTATATCGTAAGTAACTTTATTATCAAAAACACCGTTTTATCTCGACCGAAAAGGGAAATAAGATAGTTTTTTTAATCTGACTGTAAACATTGTATATATCACAACGATCTATTAATAACCGTCGCTCACGCATAACGGATTCTATAATCATCTATGTACAACGATCTATTAATAACCGTCGCTCACGCATCACTGGTTCTATCACTGACTCAATACACACCCGTTTTATCGGACAAACGGCTAATTCCCACCGACACGGAAAATCTCCGGATAACATGCATAATATTCTGTAATACAGCAAATTTACGATGAACCTCTAATTATTATCCGTTTCGCGGAGATTAGCCAAAAATCGCGGGCATTTTCCAAATAGGTCTACCAGTGGTAGTTCACATTAAATTTGTGGTGTCATATCGACGTGACACTAAGTTCAATATGATGTGAACATATATGCCAGCCTGATTTTGCAGTTCGTTGTATATGGAAATATGATTTTAATTTATGAAATATGAATTGGATTAAACCAAAAGAAGAAATGTCTTAAGTCACAGAAAAATGCAGAGTTGGAATTTGTTGATTTTATTATTATTATTTTCTTCTTTTTTTTGGGTGGGGGTATTTTTAATTCCAAAAAAAGGGAATGATGAATTACATTCTTTGTACACTTAAAAGTTTATGATTCTGGTTTTATGATTCAGGCTGGTGTGATGCATTTTTAGCTCACCTGGCCTTTTTCTCATCACTTGGCGTTGGTCTTTGTTGTCGTTAACTTTTACAAAATCTTCTCCTCTGAAACTACTGAACCAAAATTTAACCAAACTTGGCCACAACTATCATTGGGGTATCTCGTTTAAAAATGTGTCTGATGACCTGGCCCGCCAACCAAGATGGCCACCATGGCTAAAAATAGAACATAGGGGTAAAATGCAGATTTTGGCTTATATCTCTGAAACTAAAGCATTTAGAGCAAATCTGACAGTGTTAAAATGTTCATCAGGTTAAGATCTATCTGCCCTAAAATTTTCAGATAAATCGGACAACCTGTAGTTGGGTTGCTGCCACTGAATTGGTAATTTTAAGGAAATTTTGCAGTTTTTGGTTATTATCTTGAATATTATTATAGATAGAGATAAACTATGAACAGCAGTAATGTTCAGCAAAGTAAGATCTACAAATAAGTCAATATGACCAAAATGGTCAATTGACCCCTTAAGGAGTTATTGCCCTTTATAGTCAATTTCTAACAAATTTTTTGTCAATTTTTGTAATCTTTTACAAAAATCTCCTCTGAAACTACGGAGACAAATTTAACCAAACTTGGCGACAATCATCATTGGGGTATCTAGTTCAAAAAATGTGTCTGATGACCTCCACTACCAACCAACATGGCCGACATGGCTAAAAATAAAACATAGGGGTAAAAAGCAAGTTTTGTCTATTATTTTTTGAACCGTTATAAATAGAGAAAATCTGAAAGGAGCAAAAATGTTCAGAATAATGAGCTCTACCAATTGTCCATATACGTCAAAACTGTTGATAGGAGTTATTGCCCATAAATGACAAATTTTACCATTTTTTTTTCATTTTTGCCTATTATCATGAAAACTCTGATATTTATAAACATTTTTTTTCCGTTATGCCTTATATGATTTAAATTATAATAGATAAATAAACACTTTAAATCACAAAAATGATCAGCAAGGCAAGATCTATTAAAAAGTCAAATTTTGACGATATAGTTAGTAGACTGTCACTCTTCATAGGAGTGATTGCCTTTAAATGTGGATTTTTTTTACCCTCTTTTGTGTTTTGAGCAAAAACTAAAGAAGAAAGAGAGAAAGTAAACAGACTAAAAGATCACTTATACAAGATCAACAAAATAGGGATTTTTGTCATGAAGTCTATTCTCGTCTACAATGTTGGAGAGTGTCCTTTGTTTGATATGCACATAGACCAAGGTGAGCGACACAGGCTCTGTAGAGCCTCTAGTTTAAAATTTTAATTGATTTTGCAGTTTGAAGAAAAAGAAAGGAATAGAAGACATGCAGAGGAGATGTTAGACACAGAAAGAGAGAAGTCAAGTTTGATAAAGCAAGAGTTAGATATGATAAAGGATAACAGAGATCAGATGGATAAAAAATTCCAACAATTACAGGACAGGATGTATCAGGTAATGTATTCAAGTTTTCTCAGATAATGTAGACAAATGTTTTTGAAGAGAAGGAAGTACTTTCTTTGAATGTTGTTTAATGTGGTTGCACTTACATCCACTCTTATATAAGCATTAGAGTTAAAGTACAGTCAAGGATACTTATCCCTGTTTTATTGATGGTTTTCCCAAATTTTATCCTATCATATTAAACCATTCACATTTTTTTTTCTAGGAACAAGACAATTGGTTCAAAAGAGAGCAAGAACTGTTGAACAAAATAGACCAGGTGTCAGAATCAAATGTTAAAGTAGTTCAACAAGAAAAGGTTGGTACATGTATCATGATTATAATACTGTGGATTCATTTATTTTCGTGGGTATCAATTTTCGTGGATAGAGAAAAAAAGACGTTTCGTGGTATACGTAAATTCGTGGATCGCTGATTACAAAAAAAAAAAAAATTCAGATACGTAATTCATGGATTTCTTTTTGATTTAGGAGATCATATAACCTCCTTGGTTTGATCAATAATAAAACAAACAAAAACGAAGGCATTCATTGAAAAAGTTTTGATTTGTCAAAATCCTCGCTTGGTCATTCTAGGTTAAAATGTTCATTGAAAACTTCTATTACAATAATGGACAGAGACAACTAATTATTTGTTTGTTTTACAATTTATAAATTCTTGTCGGAATTTTATAAGGCATTCAAAACTCTATGATTGAAAGCTCATTTCCTCAATCACGATATAATATATAAGTATAAGTAAAAGGTGTGAAAAAAAATGTTCCTGTCATAAACAATATTACCTACGGGCAATATCCCCGTTCTTAATCTTATTGATTTTTAATCACCAGTAAACCAAACTATGACACGGTAATTAACAACTTGCAGTTATTTTCCATGAACAATTTAAATCAATTTTAAAAAGTAATTTATGACTGATATTCGATATATTTATTACTGATTTAATCAAAATACTTGTATCTTCTTTCAATAAAAACACGTGTTATGTTACAATGTTTACCGCTAGTCAACACTATACTAGAACTGCATAACATAACCGGAAATAAACATGCGACTCCATACACATTTCTCGGGATTATTTTTCGTTGAATTCTTAAATTCGTGGTTCGCTGTGACCCACGAAACCCACGAAAATTGGTATACCACGAATAAAAATGAATCCACAGTAGATTGTAGTACAAATACAAAATTACCCTATATATCATAGTTTAACTTTTGTTTGTTTGAGTCTTGCTTTGATACATGTAGAAAAATCCAAGACTTTCTAGCTTTTATCTCAATCAATAAAACTGATCAAAAGAATTTTGGACAGCATAAAAGATCTATCTATACCCCTGCTTTGTACAATCATGAATAAAATTCTAAGAAAAGAAATTGTAAACATCACAACCAGAGCTATATAAAGGGTAAATTGCTGTGTATCCCAAATATTAATATAGTCAGATCCATTTGATTGTGAAAATAGCATAGTTGAAGAATTTACCTGTGCCCTCTTTGTTTTGTGGTTAACGTTAAATTGAACTGCCTCATTTGAGTTTGGAAAGTTATATAAAATAAAATGTAAGAAAGTTGAGAAATCATAATTTTCTTTTATTTCCAGGACAAAAATGAAGAATTGTCTAACCGTAATAGAGTGATGGAAGAAGAGATACATGAAATACAGAAAATCATAAAGAAGATGGAGATGGAACATGATGCTGTTCTGAGAGAAAAGGTATATTTTATGTAACTTGAAAACCATTATAAAAGATAAGGTATGTTTTGGGCCCAAATAAGACCTAAAATCAAATGTGTTTCCAATCTTCTCTTATATGTAAAATTAGATGTTATATCTATGCAGATCAAAAAACATCTATATTTGAATGAAATATTTATTTACAGTAACATCATCATGCAAAAAGTAAATTCAATGAAATTGCAAAATTATTTAAAAACCTTGGCCGTTTGGCTCCTATGAGTGTAAAAGTTATAGCCACCAAAACATTACTTACATCGAAAAAGGCCATAAAAAGTAAAATAACAAAAATACCAAACTCCATGGAAAATTAATAAACGGAAAGTCCTTTATCAAATGGCAAAATCAAAAGCTCAAACACATCAAACGAATGGCAAACAACTGTCATATTCCTGACTTGGTACAGGCATTTACTTGTGTAGAAAATGGTGGATTAAACCTGGTTTTATAGCTAGCTTAACCTCTCACTTGTATGACAGTCGCATAGAATAAGTTGTTCCTTATGATATTATCCTTATAAATAGTTAATTATTTTTAGAATTTTTTTTATATAAATAAAGGGAGAATCATAGATGAGATAGCAACCCAATAATCTTAAGACACCATTGATGAATAATTTGACAACCTTGAACAGACCACATACTAAGCCAGTTGCATGCTGGTTAGTTCTATTGAAGTCATAAACAAGTAATGCTTAGGGATAACACCACTGTCTTATAACAAGTAATCATTTTTCTGGAGATTTAGCTGTGCCTTATAAAAACCCATAGCAAAACTTGATCCTCTGATGAAAGGTTGAGGTGATTAGCCAACTATTTAAATGATCAAGCTACTAAAGTTGTAGTTATTTCTTGTGTAGTTAGTGATGCATGTCAATTATTCAGAGTAAATATTTCTGTTAAACCATTGATTATTATTATTTGTTTCAGGAAAGCCTTAAAGTAGAGATGGGTATAATGGAAGCAAAGTTTGAAAGTTCACAGAGAACATTAGAGGCAGAGCTAGCTTCACAGATGGAAAAAGAGGTCAACATCAAATATATTTTTCTACATTGATTAAAATTTCTAAAAAAGATACATGCATTTGTAAAAATGTCAAATTAGAAGTATTTAATGTAATTTATTGAGATGAGATGAACCACAAAAAAAATTATGACATGCTCAGATTATTGATGATTTTTTTCTAGCCTGCGACTTTTTGTTGTGGAAGATTGACATAGTGCTCCAACATTCTGTCAGCACCCTCAACATTTAGGTTCAGTTTGTGGTTTAAGTTTTTTTAAGCATCAATAACATGGTCAAACCTGCATGGAACTTTGGGCAGCAGTTTCTTCAAAATCAAGAAACAGCATTTGAAGAAAAAAATATAATTTTTTAAAGATTTTTTCCATATTTAACTGATAAATTGAGCTTTTTGCAGTCAACATTACACTTCTATTCTGACAGCAGCAATATCACCATAAATGATGTAGTGTAGTTATATTCATTCAAAAGAGTTCACAAGTAGATACATGATTTACACTACAAATGGCATATATTCTGTACATATCTCAATAGTCCATTTATGAAACAGACAAACATTGGAGTGAAAAACAAAGATGAATTACATAATCTCTAAGCGGAATGAATCTTTATGTTTTCAAAGAGTAATCTTCTCCTGCTATGTGTGCATCATCTAGAAATGTTTTAGAATGCTTCAGTTTAGGGGTTGAAAGAGAAATCAAATGTCCACATTAACACTCAAATTTATTATTTTAATTACACATTATATTGTACAGTATGGCAAATTACAAGTATTAATAAATTTTTACATGCTTAGTATCAATCAAGGGTGTTTATTAAACTTTGGTCATTTCAGATTTCAGATCAGATGTCAGAACTTCAAAAACGTGTTGAAAAAGCTGATAGTGAAATGAGAGAGAAACATTATGAACATACAAAGGAGTTAAATCAACGTCATAAAGAAGATTTAGAAAAACACCTGGCTAACTTCCATAGACAGCTAAAAGATAAGGATGATGAAAATCGTAGACAAATACAGGAGTATGAAGAAAAGTAGGTCTTTATTTAAAGGCATCTTTGTTTAATAGTTTACTTATTTTGAATATCTAAAATGCAACAACATAAAAACATAACTATTTAATTATTTATTAAAAATTTCATAAATGCTGGAAATTTTCATTAGATCTTTAAATTTGTTTACCTTTTTATGTTTGTTTTCCCCTCCAGAAATTAACGAGCCAGTTTCTGAAATTAAAGGGGCAAAATAAAACTCTTGACACTTTGATAATAAATCAATTTGACAGAAAAGTGGCATAGTTATTGCACCATGTTGGCCTGGAAAAACAATGATGCTCATCAGTTTTATGATTTACCCTTTGTTATAACTGTGGAAGTCTTTAGACTTATTTTGAAGAAAAATATAGGTTAAAGCAACTGGAACTGAATAAAGTTTTAAATGGAAATAATGTTATTTGGTTTAAAATTGCAAAATGCATTTTTTGACATCTTTTGCTGCAAAAAAAATATTGATCTTAAGTCCTAACTTGAAGAGTTTTGTATTTTTTAGGCTTCAAGCATACAGATCAGAAATAAGTAATTTACAGGATACTAAACAAAAACTAGAGAAACAGAGGTAAATAGAGAATATTGATACTTACACGTCTATTGAATTAATTATAATATTATATAAGTAGCAAAAAAAATTGGATATATAATGTAGCTTTAATGATATATATTTATCATATAAGTTTTATGACTTCAATTAAAATATTACACTAGAGTAGATTTAAGTCAAATTCAGTTGAAAACTCGTGGCATGTTTACACTAAAAAATAAATGTGGAAATCAAATATTAAGCAAAATTGATCTTTCTGTATATAACAAAACTTTATATTCAGTACAACACTTGAAATGATGCTCAACTATTTACAGCACCTTTCTTTTTTGTTCTTAGGGAATAATGGTGGTGATAAAAAAAAATGTTTAAAGTTAAAGGATCTAACCAAGGATTCAGAAATTTTTTCACACAATTTTAGTCATTTTGAGATGACTTAAAAGTTGGTCCCCTTTTTTCAAACTGTCGAAATTATTCACACTAGATTCATAATATCAACGAACTTGTTTCATCGCATTAACTGCATAAATTTTCTTACCATTTTTTTGAAAAACATTCAAGAACAGTTAATGGAATGCAACAGTTTAAAATTGAAATGATTTTAATGACTCAAAATGGTAAATGTCTCAAACATCGCTAATGTTTCTTTTGATTTTAAAGACTAAATTAAAACCAGAAGCTTCAAATTGATTTCCAGGATTCGTTCTGTTTTATATCAAATATTGACAGGAAATCACAGGATTTTTAATTTTATGACCTTTAAATGTGTTTGAATACAGATAGTAGTTGCATTTGTTTAATTTAGCATGAAATCATTTTCAGGATAATCATGCTATACTATTACTGGAGAGGCAATTTTATTACAGGAAAGGGATTACAAGAAAAAACAAACTGTGCAAAATGGCGATAAAGAAACCGAATCTCAATGAAATGACCGAAATTATTTCTGTAAAAAAAAAAAAATTTGTCCTGATTCCCAATCTGCCGTTTAGGACAAATCGCTTTCAGTTTAGGACATGACTGGCAAATATGACCGTTTCCCGACCCTTGGTTCTAACATTTTTTCTTAAATCTACTAATCATTTTGTTGTTTAAAACTTGTACCTGTCACCCAAGTTAATAATCAGCAATCAGTCAATTCTTGCATTCCTTACCCACTGACTCATTCTGTGTTTATTTTTAGAACTGATATATTGTTGAAGCTTCAACAAATGATGCAGTCACAATGGAATGAAGCTCTCAGTCTGCTGGCTACTACTCCTCAGCGAAAGGTACTGTTTAGTATAAAACACCATTTTATTTTCTTTAACTTTGTCATCTGCATGTAAATTATAAAAAGTATAGTATAATTTTATAAAAGATGTAAATGTTAAATTATCTCACACAGTTTTACAAGAAGGATTATAGCATCAGACAAGTTTTGCATAGTGATGAAAACGAAGAAAAAGTTATTTACTTCTAATTGTTGTATGTTTTGCATAATTATGAATCCTTTTCTATGATTGGTACCAAGCTTTTTGGTAATGATTTTTGTGGGAAGTTAGTTTTTGATAGACTGTGTTCACAGGACTATTTTTGTTGCAAATATAAACAACTTGCCTGATTGAATTCACTTTACACATACAAAAATTGAAACATAATTTATAATCAATTTTTGCTGAAAAAATTAAATAGTTAAGAATTTTAAATATAAAACAATTTTTTTTCTAGTACTTTACATTTGTTTGATAGTGAATTGATCCAGTTTACACATGAACTCTAGAAAAAAGTGTTTCGTCCAATATATGCAACAATGTATTTGGATGTTTGTATATGTTACAGAGAGGACAGTTCAATGGCCCTTCTAAAGTTGTTGAGTTTAGTCTGTCTCAAAATGGAACTGATTCTAGGGCTAGAGAAGACAACACACTTCAACTTTCTGACCTAAGCAGCAGAGAAGTGTCATCTGCTGCACAAAGGGGAAATAACTCTCATATGACAAGAGATGATGTTCCTGTTTCCACTGAAGTAAATTTAACAGATTTTCAGACATCTTTACATATGCAACAACTTTTACAAAGGTAAGCTACCATTTGTTGTTGGGTTGCTGTCTATTTTATGTTCACCAATCCCTTTTTCTCATACATTATTTAACAACATTGATAAGCTTTGAAGAATTTAAAATGCAGTTAGGACACAGATTCTATATGATATTTTCAAATTGTATATACCTTATGTGTAGTATTATTCATATTGATGATAAATGGAAGGAGGGTTGTTCTTGTAACTTACATAATTTTGAAAATGAATTTTCCAGAAATCTTTGAACTACAGGTAATTACAAATATGCAAATCTCATGTATCTTGAGTCACAAAAGTTATACAGTGTTCTACTTAAATGCAAGGAATTAACAACTTAGTATAGTTATAAACAATTATAGTTGTATATTTTTTTCCCAGTTCAGTACTTAAAGGAAAGTAATAGCACTTTTATATTGTACATCAAAAATACATTTAGATAGGAGATAAAATATTTTCGAGTGTTAACACATTTAAACTTGAAAGCATGCTTCATTGTCCTTTCTATTTTAGCTTCCCTCTTGGCATTACTTTATTCCTTTCACTTTGAGGATTCCTAGAGTCTGCAAAAAGAAATATACACTACTGTGGATTCAGTGATTTTTATGGGTACCAATTTTTGTGGATTGAGGGAAAATTGTAATTTCATAGGAATTTTAATTTGTGGTTTTGACAAAGTCTGCATACAAGCCTATAGAAAATTTGTACTTCTTTGAACATTAAAATTCATGGTTTATCTTTACCCATGGAATCCATGAACATTGGCAACCCACTAATAATAATGAATCCACAGTATGTATTCACTGTACTGGTTGAACTATATTGTTACTATATTTCAGTCTTTCAAGCTTCACAACACAACCTTTCCCAGCCTATGGTAATGGACAACCTGCTACCCAACAGGATAATGATGTTTACCCTGATCCTCACCAGACCGTTCCACTTAGACCTGAAATGGCATACAGTACACAGGAGGAGATTAAACCTACATCATATCCATCCTCTCCCAACCCTAAGAAAGGTCATCACCAAGCAAATGTATCTCAAGGTCATCAAGTAGGAAATGTATCTCAAGGTCATCAAGGAAATTTATCTCAAGGTCATCAAGGAAATTTAACTCAAGATCATGCACCTCAGAATCCCGTTATGAATTATTCACATCCTCCTCTTAGTTATCCAGTAGATGAAACAGACGAATTTAATAATCATCTACAAATGTTACTGAATGCCAACAAACCTGACCCTCCAGTTTTTACTGGGTCAAGGAATGATTCTGTTAATCAAGGACATGCTCTAAATATGAGCCAGATGTCTTCTGTGGTGGGATCTAAAAATGATTCACAGAACTATGGACATGTTCAATCAAATGCAGGTCAAGTTTCAGAGAACTATGGACATTTTCAATCAAATGCAGGTCAAGTTCAAGGTCAGCAACACCCACATAGACAAACTTATAGTGAATCTGTTGATCATTGGCTTGGACAGTCATTGAGGTCTCAGGACCTTCAGTCACATGATTTAAACAAGTCACATACTAGTCATATGAGTAGTCATCAGGATGATTACATTAGCCAAATGGGAATGGCTGTGCCTATCCGTCCACCACAACAGCAAGAGAGTTTTATAGCTCCACCAGATTCTGAGCTATCTAGTCATCACCCAGGTAAAAATAATTTCTATTCAAGGAAGATTGGTATCCCTGAATACATTTTTAATATTTCAAAATGTGACTTTCGTTATTTACCTTAGTATACAGTGTTCTCCCCAGGATTTTTTTATAGCGCTGTGGTAAGCACGTGATTTTCGACTATTCTCAGTAACTTTGTCGCGGTGCGTGCAGTTCGTTTGTAATGGGTTTGTTATGATGTTTTTATAGGACATGCTGCTGATGTTTGCTCTTGTAATGTTGTTCTGATGGAAGTTACCCCTTTGTTTGTAAATGTTATTGTTTGAAAATTGATGAAGAATATTTTTATATCTCCATTGTAAATTCAGATAATCAAACAAAAATAAATTTTATTCATTATCATGATTTAACTGTAGCATACATTTACCATTCTCATTATCTGTGGACAAAACCCAAGGAAAAGTATTTTTCCATGAAGGGTCAACACCAGACTGGCGATGTGAAGATTTCTTAATAGGTGATGCTGTAGAAGTAGCACATGTAGGTCCCACAATCACGTCATTGTCAGTTTCTGTGTTGGGTTTTGTAACCCACTGGAGCAGTGTACTATTAACCTTACAACGTTTGACAGGAGTTGACATTTTGGAACATTATGATTTCTCATTTTTCTGATCACCATTTTATTGGTATTACATTTGTATGGCTTCACCCAAACTGGACATCGATAAAAGTGAATTTCTCAAGTCTAGTATTGGCTTGGGGTTTGTTTTTGCGGTCGTATATTGGTATGACGTTGGCATCGTCGTCATCTTCGTCCGGAGACACATTGGTTTTCGCACAATAACTTTAGTTTAAGTGAATGGATCTCTATGAAATTTTACCATAAGGTTCAATACCACAAAAGGAAGGTTGGGATTGATTTTGGGGGTTATGGTACCAACAGTTAAGGAATTGGGGACCAAAAATAAGCATTTTTGTAACTTCCAGACAATAACTTGTGTTTAAGTGTATGGATCTCTCTGAAATTATACCACAAGTTTCCATACCACAAAGGGATGGTTAGGATTGGCTTTGGTGGGTTATGGCTCAAACCGATTAGGAATTAGGGGCAAAAAAGGGGGAAAAACAAGGGTTTCCTGTTTAATGGACAATTTAAAAGCAGTGTAAGGGAGGTAATCCAAAAACAAAATTGTACAATGTTGGGGGGTAAAAAAGAAATTGGGGGTGGGCAATTTTTTCTCATTTCAGATTTTGCAAAAAAAAAGGTGTGGGGGGGGGGGGGGGGTCAATACGCAACAGCATGGTGTATTGCACAAAAGCAAAAAAAAAATGGGTTAATTTTTATTTTTTTTTTTTTTTTGGGGGGGGGGGGGGGGGTCAATTCGCACAGGCACAGTGTATATAAATTCAAATCATATAACCAATTCTAAGTTCTTTGACTACAGTTATTATGTGTCAAATAATTAATTACAATCCAAATTCAGACCTGTATCAAGCGCGAATATTGTGTCCATTTTTGCCCCAACTGTTCAGGGTTCGTAAAACAAGTTTGTGAGTGTTGTCGGTAAATGCGGTCAATTTATTTCATCTTATATCATACGTATTGGGCTTCTTTATATTCTTTTTAAATAAAAAAATGGATGACAATGTTGATTTCTTCGTTTATTTTGATCTTTCAAAGACGCCATTTAGTAAAATTTATTAAACGGGTCCCGCGATGTTACTTTATACAATGCAATAATGCAATCAGAAATAGTAAACCAGACGATCACGTGATCGAAGTAAAAGAAAAGCGGGAAATTTTATAAAATCGAAAAAAATATAGCGACGCGATTGATTTGGATAGCGCTGCGCTCAGTTTAATAGAAAGCGGAGAATTGCGATAGCGCTGAATACCGCAGCGCTAAAACGGCCTGGGGAGAACACTGTATAATATATAGTGTAGTTTGCATTTTTATACTTTAAGGACCATTTATTTTGAAAGTTCTAACATTCCTGGGCATCAATTTTGAAAGATTTTGTTGTTCAACACAATATCACATTTTTTAACACAAAGAAATTCCTGTTAAATGAATGAAAGGAGGTATTGGGTATACACCAATAAGACAGCATTCTAGACATAGAAAAACTAAAGACATTTAGGTCTGACAACATACAGTCTTTTGCAAAAGACTAGGGTCGTTATAGTATATTAAGCTGTAAAAAGAAATAGTTAAAAAACATTAAATGAATAAGAAGAGAGACTATCAAAGATTAGTATTGTGCAAAGCCTGAAACCATAAAATGAAATATTCAAGAATAGGTAAATTTATTTTTAAATGATAAATATTAGCATTTTTAAGTATTAAAAGCTACCTGCACAGTTCTATTTCAGTAGTATCTTCTAACCCTTGGAGTAAGATTCAGTATTTGAAAAATTGTAGTTTTTAAAGTAATCACAAATTTTGTCAAAAAAATAAATTGCTTACAAATAATGTCTTACTGTATGCATCCATTAAAATCAACACTGAAGATCTGCAAATTCTATAAAAATGAAATTTGTGTAACTAAAGATGAGTTTGATAGTTGTAAAGTAAGTGTAGCAGTTGCCAGAGAAGCTAAATATTTGAACAAACTTTAATTCAGCTTATATGAGATAGTAGCTTTGTTGGTAAATGTATGTGAAAAAATGACACTATATCTTAGAAACATCACAGATAATCATGCATCAGATTAACTGAAATAAGACTTATAAATTGTTTTTACATATTTGTTAATTATCTTTTGAGATTTTTTGCTAAACTACATATTAAAAGTTCATGGACAGTTCTCTATTCTTTTACTGTCATGTTTTTTCATCCTTATTTGTATTTGATTACAGATATGTCCCATGTTCATCATCAGCCTCCCTCCGCATGTTACTCACCGCCAACCAAACAGACAAGAACACAGGCTTTACAACAGGACCATGACCCTTTACTCAATGAATCTGTCAGGTAATTATTTACCCTGAAATAAGAAATTAGTATGACATTGTTGTCAATGACTCTGTTTGTTGTCCATAGAATGTGTGAGGGGCGTAATAGGAATCTTGGAAAGGAAATTGTCTGTAAAACTGTAAATAAAGCAGAGTGGTGTAAGGCAAAATACTTTTTGATGATTTTATGCAAGAAATAAAAAAAATGTCTGATCAAACCGTCTAACCCCTACCCAATGCCAGAATTAGCCACTAGATGTCATCTAAACAAAAATGGTGTAACATGTCATAACATAAGAAAAAGAAATAACTGCCTCTTGGACGGACATTCACTATTTGGGATCAGAGGGAAAATTGTTTGTGTCATTTAAATACATGTTAAGAATGTGTTTAAACTTTATATTATAAGTGATGTTTAAAGATGGCTAGAATGATATTAAATTAAGGTTTAGTAAAATTCATTATACCATTTAATTGCCACCATCTACATTTTAATTACATTTTAATTATATTTTTATACTTTATATTATGAAATAGATATATATAGATGGCTAGAATTATCTTAATTTAAGGTTGAGAAAAATACATTATACCTTTTAATATCTAAATTAAAGTAGATATAAAACTTCTTTTCCAACTTTTAGACTTGCCAAAGAATACAATGAGATCTCAGATAAAGTGGAAGAACATGAGTACAGACAGGGAGAGTTACAACATTATATACATATGGTAGGTAATAATTTGTGTTGAACCTAAGGAGACGATGCTTTGCTTTGTTGTTCTCTTGACCATAGGGGTCACCACTTGGTGTTTGTCATCGTCTATAGTTGTGGACCATTAAATTTTACAAAAATTTTCTGTTCTGAAACTACTAGGCCAATTGGCCACAGTCATCAATGTGGTATCTAGCTTAAAACAAATGTCTGATGATCCCGCTTGTCAACCAACATGCCCATAATGCCTTAAAATAGACCATAGGGGTAAAATGCAGGTTTTGTTTATTATCTTGAAAACCACTAGGCAGACTGTTGAGATCTAATTACTGTCCATTTATACCAAAACTGCCAGAAGATGCCTTACAGAAGTTATTGCGCTTAAATGATTAATAAAATAAGTGTGTGTTTTTGCTTATTATCTTGAAAAATATAATAGATAAAGAGACACTTTAATTAGCAAAAATTATCTGACAGCTGGACAAGATCTACAAATATGAAATTGTCTGTCAACTCCTTTTAAGAGGAATTGCCCCTAAACCAGGAGGTTGATCGTTCATTATTAGGTAAAAAGTTATCACCCCTGAATCAGTAATGACTCCCCTAAAATAAGTGATGCACTGTGAAATACAAAAATGGATATCGTCAATAACATAATGTTAAGTTGTAATTACAAATTGAATCTTTTATCTATCTTTACAGCTTTTACAGAAACCCCCAGGTGATCCAGTGTTAGATCAAGATGAACATGCATCAATATTTTCTCATGATCAAACAGGTATGTAGTGTATATTTATTAGTAGTGCAATCAATAAAAGACCTTTTACTGATCAAGATTCAACATTCATTAATCATTTGTGGTGAATTTTTATTTTCAATACATTATATTTCAAATTTCAAAACTTTAAAATAAGATAACACCTTAACGCAAAAAATATTTATTACAGTATAAAAAGGTGGTGTGCATTATATTTAAGGTCTAGTATTATGTATTGCAGTTATATCATTTGTCATATTTTTTTTCAATCCTGGTTTTTTCAAGAAGGATGTGGTCTATTATTATATTGATGCTGTAATTATATAATAACTAATGTTTGCTTATTTTACTGTAGAAGATTTAGATTTAAATGATACAGCACAAGCTGCTCAGATACAGAGAGAATTGTCACGGATACAAGAATTACGGGAGAAACCAGCATTGCATGATGAAACAGACAGGAGAGCTGTTAAAGTACCAACAGCACAGGGTAGTAAAGGTGTTGGTATGTATATAATAGATTATAAGGGTCCCACCACTTAATTGGGTGTGAAGGCCTAGAGTAATCAGCTTGTTCATGCATGCATGCATTTTTCCGTCACAATTTGTTTCCACTCCCTTACTTTCAATCCCCTTAGAGTTGGGTTATGTAACTTGGCATAATTATTCACTACTAGAAGGTGTGTAACATAAAAAGAAGATACATGTAAGCATAAAGTGAAGTTGTGGTAAAAAACTTATTTCAGCTAAGTCATCCCTGAGCAAATTGTTTCAGCCCTCTTTGAGTTTGGGGATAAATTAGTGGTGAATCAGTAAAATTTTTGCCTTCCATGGTATAAGTTATGTTTAAATGGAGAAAACATGATTACTTCTTAATAAGATTTAGATAACAATTTACTTTGTTACTAAAGCTTTGTAATTTTTATGCCCCCGCCGTAGCAGAGGGGGCATTAAGTTTTACCCTATGTCGTCCGCTGGTACGTCCCAAAGTTGGTTTCCATTCTCTAACTTTAGTTTGCCTCAACCAAATGTTATGAAACTTATACACAAAGCTTATTACCACAAAACACACATCAAGTTTGAAATTTGGTGGCATCACTTAAACCGTTGTAGAGTTATGCCACTTTACAAATGAAAAAAATGCTGAATTTTTCGTTTCCATTCTCTAACTTTAGTTTGCTTCAATCAAATGTTATGAAACTTATACACAATGCTAATTACCACAAAATACAGATCAAATTTGATTTTTGGTGGTGTCACTTTTACTGTTCTAGAGTTATGTCCCTTTACAAAAGGAAAAATTGCGTAATTTTTCGTTTCTGTTCTCTAACTTAAGTTTGCCTCAACCAAATGTTATGAAACTTATACACAATACTTATTACTACAAAACTCAGATCAATAACAAATTTGGGTAGCGTCACTTTTACCGTTCTTCAGTTATGTCCCTTTATAACTTTATATGATATGCAAGCGGGGGCATCATCTGTGTCCCATGGACACATTCCCCATTTATTTTTTTAAGTTATTGGAATTAATATTCTTACAGGCAATTCTTTCCAAGGAGTACTACAACCAGAACACTTGGCAGAAATATCACGATACCTTGAGAAACATAAGGATCAATTATCAGGGAAAACTCCAGAGGATGAACATTTAGTGGAAATTGTCAGCTTACTAAGAAATATGCAGATACAGTATGTATTATATTATGTGGAAAGAATATATGTTTAGGGTCTAGGATAAAAGCCCCCCTCCTAGTACATTGATGAAATAAGTGTGAAGTAGGTTTGAGGCATGGTATTTGACACCTATTTATAAGTTTTTCCAATTTTATGTCCCCGCTGTAGTCAACGGGGCATTAAAGTGTAACCATTGACCGTCTGTCTTTCAGTCCCATTTTTGTTGCAAAGATTCAGCTTTAATTTCTTTCATTAAATTGTTCTGGACACCTTATTTCTTCTACAGCTTCCATATTGCATAGTAGCAGGGTTTAAGCTAGGATTTTGAGGGCTTTAGTCACTTTTGCGCGAGATGAAAATCAACATTATTTTGGGTAACAGCAAGGGACCAAGGATGTATGTATATTACTAGCTATACATCTTTGTCAGACTTTGAAGGACTAAGGCATCAATTTACTAGGCAGTTGGGTTCCTTTTTTTTAAAACCAGGAATCACAGTATAAATGAACTTGTTGAACTTTGTAAGACTATTACACTGCATAATTATTATCCTTATAAAACGTTTAAATCGATATTTTGAATTAATTTCTATAAAGTTGGAACCAAGGATTTGTACAAATTCACATGGAACGATTTCAATTTATGTAAATTGTAAATTAATTGAGAATTGATCACGTTTACTTTCGATTTTCAATTGAAATGTAAATGGGAAGTGACATGTAGATAATAAATTCAGAATGAATCCGGATTCATCTACGGATTGGTTTGTGTTTAAAAAAAGGCAGGAAATTATCATTTTTTTATTTCAATTTGCTTAGTAAGAACTATATTTGGCTCTTAATTTATTTCGTATTTTACGTTTTAGTGTCTATAAATTCATAGGAATACTTTCACACATGCGCAGTATATCGTAAAGGAAGCACCTGTTTGACTCGTTGATGATGATGGAAGTTTTTACGTGAAAACATTTCTGAACGTTTTGAATGAAGTTCTATCTTTTTAATCGAAATTGAAGGTTTTATATCAAAGATGACAAAAATACGATCATTTGACGAAACTACGACTAACGAACTGCAAATTATGATCGTTTAAGAAATATTGAAATTAAAAAGCGAACTGTCTGGGGAAAAACAATTTTGTTCAAATGACGAAACTACAACAAACGAACTGCAAATTGTGGTCGTTGACCTTCCGAAATATTGAAATTAAAATGCAGACTGACTAATTTTACTGGGGAAATTAATTAACCGGATTAGTGACCCATCCAATGGCGATAAGCGGATTAGCTGTAATCACAACTTTATAACACCTGTTGTAAATGTTAATTAGCTGAGGGTCAGAAACTTGTCAGAAACATGTAGACAGGTAGAATTATAGTATTTTCATGCGTAAATATTTTTACACTTTCCTAATTTAAGTGACGAAATTGATTTGAAACACTTTCGTCATTTTGAAAACAGTTTCGTAAATTACGAAAGTGACGAGCACTAGCAAGGGAGTAGGGATTTTTGCAGGATATTTGTACATATCCCAAGTATTTACATATTATCAGAATTACCTTTATCTTCAAATTTTACAAATGATGGATAGTCGGATAGTTAATATTTGTATCTTTATCTATGTGGAAAATAGTCAAATTTTACTTTCTGTTTTACAACTGACTTTTTTAATCTTTTAGCTTTTATTGATCTTTTTGGTGTTCAAACAACAGTGCATACATACATTGTTACAAGACATAAATGAATAAAATATATAAAATTGTTATTTTACCACTAAGAAATATTAAGGATTTACAAGTCTTCAAAGTGAATATACAGTATTTGATATTATCTTAAGAATACTTTGGAGTTTATTGAATATACAATCATGTTCAAAATAAATTAAATAAATTCAACTGATTAATGGACACATTCTTCTTTAATAAATGAATGAAATAAATGACACAAGAATTTTTTCCTAAAAATATGATATTACAGTTTGATGTTACTAAACTTACATCATGGACAAAAATGTTGGCATTCATGAGTTTTTATTGTTTCTGTTAACTTAACTACTTAGTATGTGAAGGAAAAATCATAAAAATTCAACAAAACTGAATATTCAGAATTAGATGTGTATATTTATTTTTACAATCTTAATCAACAGACAATAACGCAAGATTGATAAGTACAAATCTAGTATATGATGCAGATGATTAATTATTAACAAATTACTACCAGTGTTTCCCATCACATTTTTAGCATTATAAAGATATTGTAGTAATTTGTGATTTTCTAAATGTTTACATCATTATTGCTTTATTTCATTACAGATATTTGTTATTGTAATACTTTTGAAATTATATATTTAAGAAATCCTCAAAGAACTGCAGATGTTAGACAACAACTTGAATCACCAAGGTCACCTAGGGATAAAGTGAAGAAAAATCTGAGAGGTCAGATGTCAAAGGTGAGCACATAAACACATGAATTGAGAGAGTGGTCATTAAGAAGCTTTTTTATAGGAAATTGAATTGTGATAATTTCTCTGATGTTTTAACAATTTGTATGTCTTTTGCACCAATTCTGTCATCAAAGATGGGTTTAAGCTTATTACCCTTTCCTGTCAGAAATGAATCTGTTCTATACTCAACAAAATATCTAGAATTCAAAACTAAACCCTAGTTTTATTGTTGAGCCTGCGACTTTTGTCACAGAAAGCTTGACATAGGGATAGTGATCTGGCGGTGGCAGCGGCGTTAGTTAACTTCTTAAAAGCTTTATATTTTAGGAGGTGGAAGACCTGGATGCTTCATACTTTGTATATGGATGCCTCATGTTACGAAGTTTCCGTCAGTTACATGTCCAATGTCCTTGACCTCATTTTCATGGTTCAGTGACTACTTGAAAAAAAAGTTAACATTTTTTGTAATGTTAAATTCTCTCTTATTATAAGTAGTAGGATAACTATATTTGGTATGTGCGTACCTTGCAAGGTCCTCATGCCCGTCAGACATTTTTCACTTAACCTCGACCTCATTTCATGGATCAGTGAACAAGGTTAAGTTTTGGTGGTCAAATCTATATCTCAGATACTATTAGCAATAGGTCAAGTATATTCGGTGTATGGAAGGACTGTAAGGTGTACATGTCCAACTGGCAGGTGTCATCTGACCTTGACCTCATTTTCATGGTTCAGTGGTTATAGTTAAGTTTTTGTGTTTTGGTCTGTTTTTCTTATACTGTATGCAATAGGTCTACTATATTTGGTGTATGGAATGATTGTAAGGTGTACATGTCTAGCTGACAGGTGTCATTTGACTTGACCTCATTTTCATGGTTCAGTGGTCAAAGTTAGGATTTTGAGTTTTGGTCTTTTTTTCTAATACTATATGCAATAGGTCAACTATATTTGGTGTATGGAAATATTTTATGATCTATATGTCAGTCGCGCAGGTTTTATTTGACCTTGACCTCATTTTCACAGTTCATTGCTCAGTGTTAAATTTTTGTGTTTTGGTCTGTTTTTCTTAAACTATAAGCAATAGGTCAACTTTATTTGTTGTATGGAAGAATTGTTAGCTGTACATGCCTGCCTGGCATGGTTCATCTGACCTTGACCTCATTTTCATGGTTCATTGGTCAATGTTTAGTTTTCTTGGTTAATGTTAAGTTTATGTGACAGTTGTAATAAAGCTTTATATTTAGGACTATCAACATAATATCAGTGATTAGTAAAGAAGGCGAGACATTTCAGCATGTGCACTCTTGTTACAATGCTTATGGAACCCATATACACGATAAATAGGTTCTCGTACCACATATATCAATTACACATATATAATTGACTTGTTCTACTCAGTGTAATAAAACTCTTCATTAAAACAAACCAATGTAACAAGCATCAGGGCAGTCTGATGAAGTTATCTGAGTATAGCCATGGACTAAATATCCTTATACTGTATTTTATATTGGCACAAACCAAAACAAACGCAGTCGATTTGCAGAAAAAATGATATCACGAAAATCAAAAACATTTTCTGCATATTAAGGAAGGCTCCCACACAAAATTTGTGGAAAACATTTTTTTTCACTGCTATTGTGAAGGATGGATAAGCTCTGTATTTTGAAAAAAAATGTATTTATTATAACTGTGTAATCTGGTTTTCATATCATAACTTTAAACAAAATAATAGATCAATGTTTACAAAAGATTTTTTTATAGTGATGTGTACAATGGTGAAATGGAAAATGTCTCTAAACATTAAGTCAACATTTAAAGTTATTTAACTGTATCTAAATCATCCATAGCTGCAAAGCTGATTTCTGTTGACACATCATTATGTCATTATCAATCAATAAGTCAGTTTATTTGGTCCATAGTGTATCATAATTATTTACTTGTATAATTCATAAATCTTGTCCTATAAAAAGTAAAGAAATCTGTGATTCCAAAATTATATTTTTACAGATATCAGATAGTGCTCAATCAAGACCAGATACCAGTCATGGTCAAAATGGCAAATCTCAAGGGCAGCCAAAGAAAATAGAAAGAAAAGTAGCATCTGTTGGTCCTAATAGACACATTCAAAATAAAGGGAAGAATGCATGGAAATGATGTAGAAGGAATTTTAGATATTTATTTTAAAGATCTGAATAAGCTGTAAGATCTGTGATGTGTATTTTAGCATACAGTTCATATCAATTTGTGAAATGATTTCAAAATTTGTACAGGTAAAAATCTTATAACAAAATATCTGATAGGAATTGCTTTTAATATGTTTGATTAAATCAATTTTTAGTTCAAAAATTACACTGCCAATTTTGAACCTGGACAGTATAAAGCGATTAATGTACACATTTATCTTTGAAATGAAATGGATAAAGCATTAATTATCTTTTCTGTAGTGGCATAATGAAATTGGAGAATTTATAATGATATGGTTGTAATTTATATGTCTGAAATATTTATTTATTTTACAATTTATCTATGACTATTTATAATGTTACATAAATCTATTTTTACAAATATATGTCTTAGTAGTTAATTAAATCATGGACAAAACAATTAATTAATTTGATATTAGGTCTTGTTCATGTGCCATAATACTGTTCACATATGGGAGTATACATCACTGACAAAAGAGCTTTTAAAACTTACCTGATCAAAAAAGTGATAACATGCATTTCTGTAATCATTTATTTTTATATATTGATTTTTGTCATTACCAATGGTAAACTTGGACCATACCAGTTCGATAGGGCAAAATTTATTAAATTTTCACAGTAATGGAACTTGACAAACATTTCACACAATGTGTAGTTGTACACCTAAATGTTCAGTTTATTAAATGATTTTTTTGGGGTTTGCAAAATATGAACTGACTAATTTCTACGTATGCCAGGGATTTTTTCCACTCCTACAATATACACTATATGAATAAAAGTAGATGTGTGGTTGACATCAATGAGACAACACTCCAATTCAAACAAAAAAAAAGTAATTTGGCGGAAAAAGAGAGGCGAAAGATACAGAAGGGATATTCAAAATCACGTCGAAAACAAACTGACAATGCCATGGCAAAAAACAAAAAAGAAACAATAGCACACAAAACACAGCATAGAAAACTAAAGACTGAGTCAAGAGAACCCAACCAAGAAAATGGGGGTGATCTCAGGTGCTCTGGTCAACAGAGAGTCTTTAAAAATAGAACTGAGAAAAAAATTTCTGGCCAATGTGAACTATTCTCACCACTGGTCATCTGGCTCCATTGTTGTCTGTAAAAAACTTTTAACATAAATTTTCTGCTTTGAAACTACAAGGCCATATGAAACCTATGATCTTTAGGGTGTTTATTTTCAATTTGTCCCTGGTGTTCATGCAGATCAACCAACATGCCTGCTATCACTAAAAATAGAAAAAGAGTAAAATGGAAGTAATTGTCTAATAAATTAAAAAACCATAATTAACATCAGTGTTCCCGCCTGCCCTAAATAGAAGGGCGGTCCGCCCTTGGTGCCCTTACCCCCGCCCTTCTGCCCTCAAAAGTAAAAGAATGCACCCCTCTGCCTTTTTAAAAAAATAAAATTTCAAAATTTTATGCATACCGGCGTTTCCGGTAAAACTGTTACCTGATTGTGTAACACTAATTAACTGACAATGGGATTAAGTTAAATACCTAATGCTTTGGCAGTTTTATCACCTTTGTTAATGATTGTTTACTGCTAATTAGTGGATTTAAGATAATTGAACAAATACTAGATATTTAATACAGAATGAAATGTCCACATGTTATCCATTTGTAATGTTTATGTACAGCATGTACACCTGAAAAAAATTATTTCAGAAGGCATAACATAAAAAATAAAATCTTAAACAATTTTAAATGCATACATAGTTTTGACTTAATTGGTGAAAAAATGTTTTGTGTCATTACCATGAGTATGAAATTTAAAGAGGAATCAAAGAAATTTGTACTTTAAACATAACAAGATTCACTTCCTATTTTTAATACTTCTTGAATTTTATAATCCTCCTGACATGGAGCACTTAACAAATTTATTTTTAACAATGATGGAGAAAAAAGTAACTGTTTATACTTTCTGCAATATATTATTGCATCAATATAAATATGATCATCTCCTGTCTCACCTGTTATATTTATAAAACTCCTCACTGAGGAGCACTTTGGTGTGCACTTAAAAATACTTTTTTGTAACAATTTAAAAGATAATAAATAACTCTCAATAACATATATACTATATGTTTGAACAAGTAATTTAAATGTAGATAATTTAATTACATTCAGCCTACAATTTTGCATGTATAACTCCATCTTTCAAAACTACTTGTTTATTTTGGTATAAGTTATAAAACATTGAAATTTCTGATGATTATTTTCCATACCAAATGTACAAGTTTGTTTAGATTAACATCAGAATGATATGCTTTGCTTCATGGTATGATAATTTGATGAAAAAAAATTCTAACTAACCAACATCAAGAACACATTAATTTCTGAATATGGTTTAAATACAACTAATGTTCTCCAGATGAGCCTAGCAATATTCAAGGTAATTTATACACTGTCCAACATTGCCCTTAAAATCTGGGTTATAACGCTAAAGTGCCCTTTCAGACAACTAGCACCCTTCTGCCCTGAGATTCAAGCTGGAACACTGAACATAATTATAGAGAAAATTTGAAATGGCAAAAAACACTCATAATGTCAGATTGATTTTTCATTTTTCCTATTGCAAATTGTGGAGTTACTAGCAGGAGTTGGATAATGAAAAATATTCTACTCGGAAATATTTATTATCTACCTTTCTATGCATGATTTGTTCTTATAATGTTGAGTTGCAATTCTGCATGCAATGATAATACCAACCAACCTATATGAAATCCATTACTATAAGGAGATAATTTTGTCTGCAGTTATATAAGTTATGTCTTGTGTGTGATAAACAAATGTATCAAATTAATCCTTTGTCTATTAATGGCCAGGGTCATCTTTGAGAATTTTGTTTGATTAATGTCTTTATCGCACTAATTATTGCGAGGGAAATAAAACACTTCCCCAATTTGACTTGTTTTACCTGTGTCGATTTAAATATTGGACAATGTACTGTCCCATTGAAAGAATACAAAAGGTATTATTGTTCTCAGTGGAGTTCTGTCACTGGAACCTTTAAATTTCTTCTAACAGAAATGCATCACTCATTGATCAATTAAAATTATCTACAAAATAGATGAAAATACATGTATCAACTCTGACACAAAACTGCATGGGATGTTGTATTTATTCAATATCAATAACTTATTATCAATCTGTTAAATATAAATTGGAAAGATATATTTATTTTGAAATTAACAATCTTACTTAAAAAGTAAAAAAATAAAAATACCAAACTCCAAGGAAAATTCAAATGGAAAGTCCCTTATCAAATGGCAAAATCAACAGCTCAAACACATCAAACAAATGGAAAACAATTGTCATATTCCTGACTTGGTACAGGCATTTCCTTATGTAGAAAATGAAGTAACTTCTCTTATAAGGTACAACTGTACTCTGTTAATGAGTTGGCTATGAAAGAAAAGAGGCTATTGTGTTTATTTGGATTTAATAATATAGTATACCATTGTTCCTTTGGATATAGATAGACAATGAGCAGATACTTGGAATCCATATAAGATTGGCTATTATAGGTGCTATGTTTTACATACATCTTTAGATATATTTTGCCTTTATTTATGATGGTGTAAATGTCAGTTGGTGGGCAAGGTCATAAGACATAAATCAAGTTTTTGTTTTCAATAAAGCAAGTGGTTCCAATAACATTTCCTTTTATGATTTAAATAGGACATTATGTGATTTCAAAATGTAAATTAAGTTCAGCTTCTTAGTATCAAAACTATTGTAAACATGTGAAACATGAATCTATCAATGTTGAATTATTCAAAACATTAAGGTTTTCTTCCCAAGGCATAGGTTGCCTTAGACCTATTTGGCACAATTTTTGTCAATTTTCAGTTTTAAATGCTCTTCAACGTAAACCTTGAATTAAATTTCCAACCGTTTGATTCCAGCGTCACTGATGAGTTTTATGTAGACGAATCCTGCCTCTGGCGTTCCAAATTATAAGTCAGATATCTTTAATGAGTTTTTATTTCGCCTGCGATGAAAGTCGCAGTATGCGAGACATAGGTATTACAATCTGGCGACGGCATAACTATTTGTTTAAAACTTTATATTTCAGAATGGGAGAAGACCTGGATGCTTCATACCTTGTGTCCAGATACCTTATGTTTCCGTCTGTCATGTGTCCATTGTCCTTGATCTCATTTTCATGGTTCAGTGACTGCTTGAAAAAAAATTACAGTATTATGAGTAATAGGATAACTATATTTGGTATATGGGTTCCTTGAAACGTCTACATGCGCGTCATGTAAGGTTCACCTAACCTTGACCTTATGCCATGGATCAGTGATCAAGGTTAAAGTTACATAGTCAAGTCCGTATCTCAGATACTATAAGCAATAGGTCAACTATATTTGGTGTATGAAATGATTGTAAGGTGTACATGTCCGACTGACAGGTTTCATCTGACCTTGATCTCAATTTCATGATTCATTGGACAATGTTTAGTTTTTGTGGTTTGGTTTATTTCTCAGATACTATAAGCAATAGGGCGACTATATTTGGTGTATGGAATGATTATCAGGTGTATATGTCCGTTTGGCATGGTTCATCTGACCGTGACTTCATTTTCATAGAGCATTGATAATGTTAAGTTTATGTGATACTTGTAGAAAAACCTTCATATTACAAAATTTAACAATTTTTAGTTTTTGCGGTTTGGTATATTTCTCAGGTATTATAAGCAATAGGTCAATTATATTTAGTGTATGGAACAATTGTTAGGTGTACATGTCTGTCTGGCAGGGTTCATACGACCTTGACCTCATTTTCAGGTTTCATTGGTCAATGTTAAGATTTTGTGGTTTGATCTGTTTCTCAGGTACTATTAGCAATATGACCACTATATTTGGTGTTTGATATGATTGTAAGGTGTACATATCTGTCTGGCATGGTTCATCTGACCGTGACCTCATTTTCATAGAACATTGATAATGTTAAGTTTATGTGATAATTGTAGTAAATCCTTCATATTACAAAATTGAACATAACTTCAATGATAAGTAAAACCGGCAAGATATTTAAGCGTATGCACTCTTGTTATAATGTATACGTTGTTCTCAATCTAGACTTCAATTTTATACAATCAATAAGTGAATGCTTCCTGTTATCATGTTTCAGTTTATCTAGGAAGTGCACACTAGTATTTAACATGAAGAATAAAAAAGATCAAACGGAAGTGAAATATCTGAGACGCATCTAACAAATATGGCGTTCTCTCAGTCAGTAAGAAAAGGTCAAGTTTCTATTAATTGTAAATTATGTGAAACAGATAGACCAATACAGTGGAAATGCATGGACTGCAGTATTCTAATGTGTGGTCATTGCAAGGACAAAGTACATTCCCAATTCAAAAACGCACAGGATCATAAGATTATAAGTATAAAAGAAGTTGGACTGCATACTGAAAAACTGGATTTTACAAATATGAAATGCCATGCACACACTGGACAATCATCATGTCTGTACTGTTATAAATGTGAAATTCTTGTGTGTCCAACCTGTATTGCTAAAGTTCATAAGAAGCATGATTTAATCGAAATTAGTGATGCATACAACTTGAATGTAGAAATATTGAAAAAAGGACAAAGTAAAATGCAGAAGAGTAATTCTAACATAAATGTGAAGAAAGACCAGCTTGATAAAGTAGGTTCAGAGGAAATTTCAAAGTATTCCAAAGCAAGAGAAGATATTTTGAAGCATGAAACAACTGTAAAAGAACAAGTAGAACAATATTTTCAAGAACTCATAATTAAATTGGAACAGAATCATGACGCTGTTTTAACATCAGTCAAATCTGATCTTCATGCTATATCGTTAATCGAAACCCAGACAGAGGATAAAATCAAAGAAGTCCAGGACTTGATTCACATTTCCAATGCTCCTGAGTTCTTCAAAGAGTTCAAGAAGGTGAAGAAAAACATGGAAACCCAAGAACCACGAATCAAGACAACTTACAATTCTTCTACAAAATTTGTTCTGGGTAATATTACTCAATCAAACATTGGATCTTTACAAGATGATGAGAGTTTTTCAGCAGAATCAGACATATCCCTAGTCATCAATAATGAATACCGGACTGAACTTGAGAAAATAACATATGTATGTCCATGCATTGACCAGTCCATTTGGTTACATTCTGGTAAATATGGAGTGTTACAGAGAGTAAAACCTGAAGGAACTAATCTGAAGTTAATGTCTACATATAACTTTATAGTGTATGGAATGGCAGTTACACCATCTAATCAACTCCTTCTGTGTGTTAAAGGTACATCAAGGATACAACAAATCAGCTGTACTGGTAAACTGACCGATTCAGTTTTTGATGTAAACCCTTACCTTCCCACAACCATCCACGTGATCAGTGAAAACAAATTATTAGTAGGAGCTTATGAAGGTAAACCAGGAAGAAATGCTGTAATCATAATGGACAAGAAAGGAGACAAAGAGACTGTATATGAACATTATAAACATAATCAACCTTTATTTTCGTATCCTTTGTGTATAACCAGTACCAGTAATGGAAATATACAAGTAGTGGATAAGATTCCAGATTACTTCACTGGTAAAGTTGTGATCCTAGGACAAGATGGACATATAAAAAACGAGTATGCAGGTCATTCAACCATCAATAAGGGTACACCATTCAAACCAGTAGACATTGTCACAACACCCAGTGATAATGTTATTGTGATAGATCTGGATACCCAAATATTGCACATCCTCAATAACAATGGTCAGTTTGTTACATATTTCAATATAGATGAAATAGGAATAAGAACTCCCCGTTCTCTTGCCTTCAACACAGCAGGCCAACTTTATATAGGATGCCCTAGGGCTGCAGATAGTAAAACTAAGGAAGCAAAGCTATACAAAATAAACATAACAGGATTCTACAATATAGCCAAACTTTTTTTGGAACAGAAACATATGAAGTAGTATATGACAATCATTATTTATTTCTTCTGACAACTGGACTAAAGAAGTATAAAGGAATATATAAAGGCAACAGTAGTATACCGCTATTCAATAGTCACAAATCGATTTAACTGAAACAAATCCGGGTTACAAACCAAAACCGAGGGAAACACATCAACTATAAGAGGAAAACAACGGAACAACATAAACACTGAATATACCAGAACTGATGAGACAGATATCTTATTTAAAACAGTATTGCACTATATCTCTTTTTTAAATATTACTTTACAAAAAACATCCCATTAACAGTGAAAGTAAAAATAACAAGTTGCTAGATGGAAAGTTTAATGAACTCAAATGTTACTTTATAAAGTTTCTGCTTCAAAATGTGGTAACGAAACATTTCACATGTAAATATGAACTAATCAAATAATAAAAACGATATATGCATCCAAACATTTTCTTTAGAATGGTGGAGTAAATCGATCAAAACTGGCACACAACAGCGACAAAAAATGCTAAAAAACAGGAAAACCAATCGTTGCGACCAGAATTTTCACATGTAACTTTTCTGATTTAGTCTTACTTGTCTGAAATTTTGAAAGCCATTGTCCCAGTAGAAATACAGAGAAATACGTTATCTCAATGTCAGATATTGTATTGACTGTACAATCGCTTGAATGCACGTTTACTGTACAATCACTAGGTCTTTTCCTGTACGATCGCTTGTCCACATTCATAAAATATATTGCATATGTATTTCATTGATTGTTCCTTGTCTGTCCTTTTATATTAGTCTATACAACAAAGAAAGTTTCACCAAAAGACCGGGATATTCTGACTTGATATAGGCAGTCGAATGTGGAATGGTGGTAGCTATTTACGGAATCAAGAAAAGATACGTATATGTCAACAAATATTTAGCATGGGCAGGTATCAAAATATCAAAATATCAACAAAACAAATGCAGTTGATTAAAAACCACATTAAATTTCTAAATTAGAAGAAGCTACTTCCGGTTTACTCAAAATTACTAATGGCGTCAGTATGAAGGTTTTTTCATACTGATTGGAAAAATATATGGTTTCTAAATACTTTTGTCTGAAATAAGGGAGATAATTTGCTACTTCCCGTTTAGGAAAGGTCATTTCCATTCTCATGTGATTTATTCACACAGATTCCGAAAATATATGGGTAATATATACTTTTGCCTGAAATAAGGGAGATAATTTTCTTCTTCCTGTTTAGAAATTGTCACTTCCGGTTTCATATAATAAGTCTATTTACACTGATTCCATAAATATATGGTTTCTATTTAATTTTGCCTGAAATATTGGAGATTATTTCCGACTGCCGGTTTAGCAAATGATTCTTCCGGTTTATAAAATTTCACCTCCGGTCTCAATTAACCTTAAATTAAAAATTTCAGGGGCAGTAACTCCTATAAGATGTCATCAGATTGTTTCAGACCAAATGTATCATATCTCCATCACAATAAAGCAAACATTTTGCACTAGTTCTTTTATATATATCTTTAAAAAGTGTCAGAAGAGGTCATATAACAAGCAAAAGTCAAAATTGAGAACATGACCTTGACATAATTTTGTAAGTTATCAAGGACCTCAAATTAAAAGATCCTAGGTCTATACCACGTACGGTTTATGATTTACAAAAAATGATGAGGGTGCAATAATTTCAATGAAATAATTGATTTGACCAATTTTATTTGTTTTTACCTCTTCTAATGATCCTTGCCAAGTAACTAACCTGACAATTTTTACTCTGTTTACTATATAAGGGTAAACGATTTTTATGAGTATCTCTATACAAAATTCAGAAGATACCTAGGGGGAAATCTAAAACAACAGGGTGAAGAAAGACGGACAACACTTGCCAATTGAAGAAAAAACATACAACAGTCCACAAAACAATGTACAGAAAATTAAAGATGGGGCAATAGGAACCCAACCATAAAAAGCAGTTGAAATCAGGTGCTTAAGAAGGGCAAGTAGTTCTTGCTCATCCTGTTGTGTTTCCCACAAGACGTATAGATTTGGTTACAAGTGGCATTTAAAGTATTAAGTTGATTCAAAGATATCAGGTAAAGATAACATGAATTTTAACCTACTTTAGACTTAATTCTGACCAACAGACTTTAAGAATGCTCTGAAAGCAAATATTTCTCACAATTTTCTTACACATATTAATTATATAATTGAATAACAAGAATGAACAGATATCATATGAGTTTTATTTTTGGAAGGGTTTCATGAAGTTCAAATCTGACATTAAGTACATGTTTTGTGAATACTGGGATGGCAGGCCGATTTGTGATTTTGGAAAGAGGAATACTTGTTTTGTGTAATCAACTCCTACATATTTCATCCAAGAGTAATCAAACCAGAATATTATGATACACATAGATGTGAACCTCACTCTGGGTATTCATTGGAATTTTAATAGATTTTCCAAATGGCGAAACCATTTTCAGTAAAATTCTCGAAGGGGGTAACAATTTAATGTTTTCAACTTTTATAGTTTTCATACACGAAACTTTATTAAATGTTTTATTCAAATATTGAAGATGTGCACCTGACTTTTTGTAAACATTTTGATGATTTGTACAAATTTATTTTCCAGATGTGAAACTTGGTAACTGTTCAGCAACTTTCTTGATCACGGCGCACATTTTTTTATACAATATTGTCTGATTTAGCTAGTTACCCTTTTGAGGTTATAGATTTCCTCAGCTTTCTTCATTTCAAGGGAAATTTTACTATTGCAATCTTGACATTCGAATTTTTCAGTAAGAGCTTGCATCTAATGTATCCCACTGACTTCGTGATTAAGGATACTACCAAACCAGATAGTATGTTTCCTATCTTGATCTTTTCCTCGATATTGACACAGATGGACGTCTTCAAACAAAAATCTATGAAAAACGTGATGATATAACTTCCAATTTTTCAGCAGTAACATACCCTCTGCTCCCTCGGAAAGTGTGTATATACCCCAATTAAACATTACACTCGTGCATATTCAAATTTTACGGACTTTATTAATAGGAGCGTGCCTATAACACAACAAACTGCTCCAACATAGTTATAAGAAGGAACGACTAAATTCGAAAATTTACATACAAATTTAAATACATAAGTTTTAAGGTCACAATCACGAATTTGTTTACCAAAACGATATGTTTGTTTCTCTTCTCACAAGTAACATGTGTATGCGTCTAATCTGTAAATTTACCAATTGTGTTCTATTCCCGGTTGTGGCATTTTTACTTAGTGTAGATTTGCATGTCGGGTGATGCATGCATAGCAGTAGATGCTTACTCTGTCGACGCACCGGTTAGCCTCCTTTTGGAGTTCTTGTTATTCCCTCAGTTTTTGTTTTACCATGATTTGTATCTTCTTAATGGATTTATGAGATGTGAACAACGGTAAACTACCGTTGCATCGGAACTTGACTTATTTTGTTTACCTTCTTTGAAGTTCATATATTTTTGTTGTCATACTAGTAGTACTAACATTTCATAAAATAGAAAGTTGTCTTTGTTTCGCTTCTTAGGATTTTTAATTTTTCCTTCTCCTTTGAATGGTTGCTCTCTTGTTGTTTTGTTTCTTTTTTCTCACATATTTGAAATTGGTATCTCTTAATAATTTCTCAGAGTGAGAGGGCATATTCCATATTTTAGATAGAAACTGTTTTCTCTTCTAGAGCACCCGAGTTGGTTTCTTATTTGTGTAAATGTGTAAAAATTAGATGTGTCAGTGGTACAACACTGCGAGATGGGTTAATTCCAGGAAAAATCAACAAAAGAATTCAATTACTATAAACTTTGACCTGTCTGTTACAATACATTACAAGTTGTACAACTATAAAACATGTATACTAATTCCTTTTAGTTCTTTTGTTGATTTTGCACCATCTCGTATATGTCTTGTTTGTTATACACATTTCGATTACAATGAATTATTAATCCCATGTACTGGGTTTATGGAGGAACAACAGAAACAATTGAAAATGAGCAATGCAACAAACAATAAAAAACCCACTTTTTAAATTATACCAGTATATACAAAGATGAAAACACATCTCCATAAAGCATTACTACATAACACTGTCTTTCAAAGTTTTGGCATTAAAAAAAGTAGCTTAAATTAATGTTGATAACTAGATCATGCTTTCTTAAACTGTATTTTTCAGTACAAGGCATACTACAAAGGACCATTACTTCGTCTAAAAGGTTATATAGTCAAACTGAATGATCAAATAAAAACCATCAAATCAATTTGCAACTCAGCAACACAAAAAATCGAAAGACATAAAGATCTATATCCGGTTTTTAAAACTAGACAATGGGTTGGAAACGTCTTTACTATATTATATAGTATAAAAACTCATCAAAGATACCAGGCTTTAAAATATGTTATGATGTGATTCGTTTTTAGTATAAGTGGAGTGATACATCGTAGTAAATGATCAACACATTTCAAATGCTGATAAACTGGAGTAAATGTGATTATGTTCTAATCAGAGGACTTGTCCATTGATAAACCACTTAACTGTTGTACAAATAGGCTATGTCCAAATAACAATAGTAGACCAAAACATCTTCACAGGTTCAGAAGGACACATAATTGACATTTTTCATGTTGTTTTGAGATATAAGAAAAGAGATATGCTCTGTTATTTTGAATATTAGTTCTTCTTACAAATAAAATGAAATTAATTTTCAGATTTCTTACATGAAAAATTGCATTTTGAAAAAATTTCTTCAGTAATTTATGAAAACTAAAAAAAAATAAAATATTTGCCAATTTTCACAGAAAATGTTTTAAACTTGTTGACGAAAAGGTAGCCCAATAGAGCATTTCAGTTTTACTGAAAATAAGAAATGAACAAAAAATCCACGTGAAAGTTTATTTTTTTTAAACTTTCGATGTTGCGCCTACTCTGCTCCTGGTAAATCAATTTTCTGCTTTCAAAAAGGGAAAAGTTTTTTTTATTTGAAAGCAGAATAAATATAGTGCTCCAAAATCTTCCAAACCTTATGTTAGTTTTAAAGGCTCTAAAAACCTGGTCCTGGTACCTAGGTCCATGGCCAATCCTAGGATATTGACGGCAGAAGTAAAGGAATTAACTCATCATCTTCCTTAAATTCCGGTTGGGAGTGGTAACTCATTTCTAAAGAAACGAGAAGAATTAATCACATAGAATTGGTTGTTGTCAATTTTTCTGATGATATTTAACCTTTCATTTCAAGATTTTCTAAATGTCTTTCGCACATCAAAGATACTCTGAAATGTCAGCTTATTTCCATGAAAGAAAAACAAATGTAAAGCTGAAATCGAGGAGTTCTTTATTTTAACTCCGTCTTAAGAGTTCTACTCTCGACATTTTCAAATCCCATAGAAAAAACGGTGAGAAAATTAGACAGATCATAGACTTTTCCATACTGAATACTTAAATGGTAGTTCCTTGTTTCAAAATGGAGACCAATAATTTGTTCTACTTCTCTAACGTTTTTGGTGTGTATTTTCACATGCCTATGTCCCTCCACTGGCAGGAAATACTTTCATTTTGTCTGGAACAATGTGTTCCAGTTCAAAATGGTTTCTTTTTTTCAAACCACAGATTCTCTTGTTTTCACCACGGTTATACAGGTAAATACTGCTCACCTCAGACTGTCCAAAAATTGTTTTATCAAGGATTTCTGTCTTATATACCTGAAAGCTCAAACATAATTAATCAATTAACTCATTCTGTAACTAGGTCTTCTTGTTTCTTGGGAAAAATCATAGATGATTCCTTCTCAAGATCGTATACGAGAAAATTTTCACGGCTCTTTTAGACTAGTTCTCTTATTTTCATCTTTTTCAGAAAATTTATCTTTTGCTGAAGTTTCAATCAGTGTATGCGCGTTAATTCGCGCACTTTCTGTGTCTATTAAACTTTTTGAAGATATAGTTCCCTTTGGAACTACTACATAATTGTTCACTTCAGTTTTATATGCTTTAACATCAACTCGAGCTTCCAAAGAATGCATCTTCAACTTAGCATAGGTCGCTGGTTCCTTCTAGATTAAGCTTTAGTCTTGTCTGTCTTGAATCTTGTTTGTTTTTTAACCAGTAGATCACGTTTATGTCAGATTTTATCTTAAAAGTGCATGTTATTTAAGCCTTGAATTCTGGTATAAAGAGATGTAAAATCCATTCGTTTCGGTGACCGATTCCTGTCTCAGTTTCAACAGGCTATTTTACTAACCAATATTTTTTCTTGCCAAATTAATCCGAGACAGGAGACAGAACATGTGGTTATTGACCAGGTACGAAACGACCAGGTTACAAAACGACTAGCATTCCTTAAAATCCTTTCAAATTCTGACTCCTGTGTTTAGTTCGAATTAAGTCTCTTTATCTTAGTAGAACTAGTTTCTAGTTTTAGTACTCCCAGTCCATTTTGTCGACTGTGACATCCCCCAATGTAGCTAATCACCACGTTTTTGTGGGTTTGTGTTGCTCATTCTTTAGTTTTCTATGTAGTGTTTTGTAGATTTGTTTGACTTTGCGTCGTTTTTCGTTTTGTTTTTTTACCATGCTGTTGCATTAAAACATATCAGAACTCATAATTATATGGATATTTTTCTATTTAAATTTGCTGTAATAAAATTTCAAAATCATTTTAAATCAATGAATGTTTCCCCCGCAAAGCACTGATTTTTTGTTCGGATTTGGCCTTTACCGTGGTCCTTTTTCGTTTAGAACTTTCAAATATTTTCCCTCAAGCATCACTGAATCCTTGAAATGCGAACCTGATGCAAACAAGACTGTACCTTTAATGTTGTTACGTACAAACGTTTTTTTTTATATTTTCTAATAATACTGTATACACCTAATAACTTGGCAAGATTCAAACAAAACTAATAACATTCTCACTATCAAAACAATATCACCTAACTTACTTATGTTATTTTCATGGAAATCGGTTAAGAAATGAGTTTACAGCATGTGTTTGAAAAGTTACAAATGTGTATGAAATAATAGGGTATAAGTTAAAAAGGGAAAATTTTGATATAAAAAAACTATAAAAAGCGATTGAAAAGGTTTGAGAACAAAATATATTCTGTTGCACCGTTCTTTAAAAATCATTGTTGGTTTATCATGACATCTCTCACAAATACATTTATGTATTTGACTGATCTGCATAAAGTACAAGTATTAATCTCCCGTTTAAGCACCCCTCTTTGTACTTTCAACTGATCAAACGCAGCATTGGTTACACAATGTAATAAACAGTAAGGTGTTTGACTTATTTTGATCAGGTATAAGTAAGAATACCTCCTCCTCAAGTACCAACTGTTGATTCTTTCTGCAGATGAGTCGCGATACCCTTCTTATGTGCAATTGGCCCAAAATGAAACTTAAAATGAATGTGCACTGCATTTACCTGTCACATGATTGTATGTTTAAATTGTATGTAAACACAATACACTCAATAAACTGTTGATTTGTAAATGTTGGATTTCAATCATTATGTTCTAGGACCCCCAATTCTTGTTTATATTCTTACCTAAGAATCAAAGTGGGTCAACATGAAGAGAACAATGTAAACCATTTTAATCAGTTTTGCAAACAAATGTTTTTGCTAATAATCCTCATAAATTTACATATCATTCTTAAAATGAATTAATTGTTTTTACAAATATTAGTATCGCGGGAAACTCTCTCTTCGTTGAGATACAATTGAATGTTCGATTCATTTATAGAAGCAGCTTCAGGACTTTGCAGACATATGAAAAATCTAGAGAGAATCATATCCCGCCAAATTTCAAATGGCTTATATCTCTAAAACAAGCACACGGACCCTTCAGTTTTTCCTGTTTTTTTAGTTCCTTTATCTAAAAACTATCATTTTATAACAGTCTTTTGAAAAGCTTGTTATTCGGAAACAGAGAGTAGGGAACATCCTTAATTTTTGGGGAAAATCAAATTTGGAGTCGAAAAATGTAGATTATCACATCGAATGCTATTCAACAATGATATCTACTGGTGAATTCTATACCTTTTTTTACTATATTTCTTCGCACATTATTACATTCTACAAAAACGAAATGGTTGAACGTGTACCTTATGTAACAGGTAGGTCTATATATGAACACATCCCTTTGCTTTATAGCAATGATGTGTTTTAAATGATATCTGATCCCTAAAACAAAATCATTTCTTTTAAATTCCTTTTCCAGCAGAACCGAGATAGGTTTTATTTACAATTTTTTTGACTCGTGCTACTTTATTGAAAAAGAAATCATTATTTTCCTACATGCATTGAATGATTCATATAAATTTTACAATCTAATCAAAATATCGATCAATCGTAACTTGAGTCGAAGAGTATAACGAAATCAGAGATATATTTTTTAATTAGATTGATAATTTAAAAGAAGTTTTATGTAAAAGACCCTGAATTCACTGAACTGTAATGCCTGAACAATTCACTGAAATCTGTATTTTCTAAGAGTAAGATATCACAGGAATTTTATTTAGATATTTTTTTGATTTTGGACAACGCTAACTGATTTATGAAAAATCTACTGGAACAAAGTAAATACGTACTTCATTAACATACACAAAAACTGCTCCGACGGTAAAAAGGACTCAAATCGACAATCCATACGTAATACGGTCAACATCACGAATTGTTTGACCGATACGATGTGTCGGTTTCTCAACTCACTATATAGCTATCAAATCGACAATCCATACGTAATACGGTCAACATCACGAATTGTTTGACCGATACGATGTGTCGGTTTCTCAACTCACTATATAGCTACATGTTTTTCGCATTCATAGATCTTTAGATACAAGAAAAGTCTGATCTGTAATTTTACCGATTGCGACATTTTGACTGAGTGTGAATTAAGATGACGGGTGATGCATGTATAGCAGGATACGCTGATCCCGTCGAAGCACCCGGTCTCCTCCTTTTGGAGTTCATGCGATTCCCTCAGTTTTTGTTCGTTTGCTTGATTTGTATCTTCTTAATCGATTAATAAGATTTGAAAATCGGTAAAGTAAGTGTTGCCTGAAATTAAGCACACATTTCCAAACAGCTATGGTATTATTGGAATCATAAAATAAAAGAATGCATCTCATGGTACTTAAAAAGCTCATATTTGAAAATGTAAATTGATTGATTGTTGTTTACTGAACAAACCAAATCGACCAGCAGCTTCTGGAGAATGTGTCGACCCGGATTATGCACCGGAAATATTGGCCAACACTGGTGAAGAGTATAGGACAGTATATTGGTCTACTCGCATGCACGTTCACATCATACACACATTATTAACAGGGATGGACTCGTTGTGCGAAAACTTTTTTCAAAGAGTTGATGAAGAACGACTGAAATTGACACTACGTTAGTTTTATGGTCACCATCACGAATTGGTTGGACAATACGATGTGTCTGTGTCTCAACTCACTACGAAATGGTTTAGCGGTATTAGATACCAGAATAGTTGTTTGATCTGTGATTTTACCGATTGTTTTTTTTATTCCCGATATGGCATTTTTATTGATTGTGGATTTACATGACGGGTGTTGCATACATAGCAGGAGACGCTTACCCTATCGAGGCATCTGGTCTCACTCCATGTGGAGTTAATGCAATTCTCTCAATTTTGTTCGTTACTTTTATTTGTATCCGCGCAATCGATTTATGAGATTTGAACATCGGCCAACTACTGTTGTTTGAATTTATCCGAGTGGACGTGTTTCCGTGTTTATATAGTCCACAGGAGCCAAACACAACACCCCTTCAGCACAGGTCCTACTGTCGGACGAGGGTTTACCAGATAATCATATTTCTATTCTCAAGTCATGCTATGATTGTATTTTCAAATATTCCATCATATCGTAAAAGTGTTAAATCTTTTCCTTAAAAAACATGTAAATGCAGTGCCTCTTCATTACAAATAATTGAACTTTTTGGAATGTCTATTGCAATTAGCAAACAACGTCCACGCTGTTTTGACAACAAAAGAAGAAGTTGATTGTTTTTATTTTGGATAACAATAATAACAAAACAATCAGTATAATAGATTAAATAACACTTCACCTTGGTTGACAATGTTTTCTTTGGGTATAACCTGCTCTATCGCCCTTTCAGCTATGTATTATTATATATAATTTATGCTATCTCTGTTGTCTACTTAATATCCTGTCCAAAGGAAGACGAGCGAGTCATATGGCAACAGTCATTTTATTCGGTATAATATATTGATTAACGATGTCTTTAATTCGTTACGTTTTATTTTCAAGAAGCCTGTTTGAAATGTGACCTTATGATAAGATAAGAGTCTATGCTAGTCGTTAAAGACAGTGATGTCATCTGTATATGCTTTCTCTTTCGTCCTTTTGACTTTTTAGCATTTATAGCAAAGTTGCCTCATTACCAATTCGCATTTTCTTCTAGAATAGATATACCTAAACCATATTATTAGACACAAACTTTTCAATTTGTGGTGTACACTATATAAGTTTATTCCTTGTTATTTCCTTACAAACATTTCACCAAACAAGTTATTCACTAGTTAGAGGGATTATTTCCACTACTTTTGCTTGTCTAATGTTATCTCTAGAATCTGAAAATTGATTAGGTGAAAGAAACCCAGATCCGCGGAGTGATATTGATCCACCAAATATTTCTGGTGCTGTCATAAATCCGGATCCACGGAAAAATCCAGAGCCTCTAAGGAAGCCCGATCCCTGCATGGCGGGCGCTGTTGGTTCTGAAACATTGGAATCTATGCTCAATGAGATATTTCCATTCTGTGTAAGGTTTGTTGGGATATTTGGCTTATTTATTGTGGCCATTAGTGTCAAAAGTGCTGATAATATAAAGGATATACCTAAAATATGAAATTCAAGAGATTATTCGTAAAAAGTATTAATGCAAATCACAGCAACAGAAAGTACAAGCACGCTAGGTTTGTGTAATATGAAGGAAAAAAACATTGCTTTGAAAGTACTCCCGGTATTATCTACGAACAAATTCTTTTAAAACATTTAAAGTGAAAGTTTATACAGAAACACATGTCTTTGCATTTGTTCACGTCATTAACATAACGTACTAATTTTTACTTAACCGTTTGCTGAACTTCTTAAGTAACTTCTTTATCTTAGATTTCTCTACTCATTAGTATGTTTTTTTGGTTTTACTGATATGTATAATGTGCGGATATGACATTTTCAACTTCTTATTTTGAGCGTTTCTGAAAATGTTTGTATAAAAATTCAGAACCGTGTGTAAATTGCTATAACATTTGTACTTTTATTACCTGAGATATAAAAACTGTGCTCATATGAACCACCATTATCAATTATTATACCTAATGAAAATTAAAATAAAAAAAAATATATAGACGCTGTTTTCAATGCATACCAACACACACATGCACACACGAATATGGTTTTTAAATTTGTTTGGAGGGTTTATACACGTATTACGACACAAAAGTAATTTAAATTCAATATTTCATTATAAACGTCTATACTTTTAAGGCTAGGAGAAAAAATAAATAAGAAGTTGAATACAGTGAAGTAAAGAAAATATGTGGAAAACACTATAAACAGTTGACACCAGGTTAAGTAGCTTCTAACTATACATAATTTCACAGTCCAATGTATCTATTGGTTTCAAAAGGGTAGAGTTCATCAAAAGTTCTCAAGAAATAAAAATTTCATCTTATTTGTGTGAAAAGCTTGATTTGAGTGTATTGGTTATTTGTCTTTTAAGAAATAACTTTTAAAATCATGGGTACAATTTTGATCAATTACCATAATAATAATTTAATAATACCTGCTAATGGAGGTCCAATTAGTCCACCAATACCTATGGCACAGAAATAAAGTCCTATGGCGGTGGGCAGATTATCTAATCCTACCATTTCGAAGCATATAGGGTTAGTCAAGGCACAGAAAGCACCGCTATATAATCCAAATATAAACGAATAAATACACTGACCGATATAATATGTAGAAAACAACGGAAATACTAAAGTGGTGACACCAGTTAAAGCAAGTGATCCAAAATACAACAATAAAACATCAAGTCCGCCGTCTCCGCTGGCAACACCTACTAGTATTCGGTTCAAAGTGCTACCAAGTCCTATCATGGCCACGAGAAAGGCACCATCCTCGTGTGTATAACCTTCAGTTACAGAGTAGTTTGGTAAATGTAAAAGTACTAGACTATATGGAAGTCCTACAAATATAGCACCAAACAGTATAAACACAAATGATATATTTTTGAAAACTCCGAAATGAAGGAACCTTTTCAAAATACTGCTTGCATCTGTATTCTGCTTATTATGTTTTAAGAATTTCTTGTGCCATTCCTCAAGTCCAGATGGCTTCATCAAAGCACCACATACAAAAAAGTTACTTGCAATTCCACCTAGAAGAAGAAAAGCTCCAAGTACAGAATAATTGTCGACAAGAGACTGTACCAATGGTCCACAAGCAAACATTCCAGCACCAGCGAACGCCATACTTACACCAACAGTCGCACTTCGGTATTTTTCAAATGCGTATCCTAGTATCACTATCGACGTTGTAACAGTAAACGAAAAACCAGTACCTATAAATGATAAAAACAAGTTTGGCCATTTATGGAGAGTTTTTTCTAAGGCCATATGATAAATAACGTCACTTTTGATTGATTGACATCTACCGTCAATTCAACTTTGCACACAATCGAATAGTAGGTTTTGATATACTTAAATGTTTTATTTTAAACATTTTACAATAGGAACGTCAGGAGGATGTGTATTATTATTCTGTCGCTGTAACATGAAAACTCCTTGAGTGATTCTTTTCTGCAGTGAATAGTAAACCAGCTTTGTTTTTGAAACAGGCAGGCATAGATTTTAAATAACTGTGATGAGGGAAAATGAAGGAAGGATCACAAACCCCAATCAGTCAAAAGCAAATAGCCTCTATTTATCAAATGTAAAAGGGGGCCTCGGTGGCCTCGGTGGCCGAGTGGTCTAAGTAGTTACTACTGTAATCACTAGCCAGTCAACACTGAGGTTGTGAGTTCGAACCCCGCTCGTGCGGGTGCACTCGACTCCAATCTTAATTGACAAGGATTGTCAGTTTTCCTATCGAAGGTCGGTGGTTTTCTCCGGGCACTCCGGCTTTCTCCACCAATAAAAACTGGCCGCCACGAAATAGCCCAAAAGCGGTGCTTAAAAGTGGCGTTAAAACACCAAAAATCAAAATCAAATCAAATGTAAAAACAACATATTCAAGTTTTAAATGAGCATTTCTGCTGGTCTTAAATTAATGCGCGGAAACTATTCTTTCTAATTCAACAACGCAACCACAAGAGCCCTAAAGTTGAATATGTAAAAGTAACGAACATAGTATATACGTAAGGACTAACAGTACTGTGGAGAAATGACACTGTCAAATCACTGGCGCTTGTGGGCATGGATCCACCATTTCTATATACTTATTTGTTTTTGTGGGTTTTTTTTCATAGTAAATATTCTTTAATATTTTAACTTGTTTTCACTACTGTAATGTGTTCTTGCTCTTATACATACGGTATTACAGTAAAAGATACTTTAAAAGAAAAGTTTACAGCATGTTAAATGCATAAAAATGATTAAATGATTAGAACATTTTATTTCACAAACTGTATATAGTGTAGATTTGTACAATATCCATATTTATTCATTTTAGATTTGTTTTTGTTTTAGGGCCTCAGTGAATATTAGCTATAGTATTGCTTACTGTACAATAAAGTGTATATATATATATATATATATATATATATATATAATAATAATAATAATACATGTTTAGAAGCTTATAATGTGTTTAAGTATTATTTATTCAAGAGATAATCTATGAGTAGAGGTGTTTCTTGTCTTAGATGTTCCTAGTCTGCAAGAACTTCTATGCTGTGGGGGTCACTCAGCTGATTTGCACCTTAGTTTTGGGCCCTTATAAAATTGACCACTGGTCTAATTTCTCATGTCCCCAAGTAATTAAATTCACATATTTCTTTCTTCACCAATTCTCAACTCAATTCAATCCCATTTTATCGTAGCCTCCTGCTGCGAGATGAAGTATCGCTTCATCATCTCTTATGAACATCGATCCGGCTAGTTGACGGAGTGTCCTGTCCATGGCCATTTGGTTTTCACCAAGGTTGTCAACAGAGCCGACACGTCATAAACTCACTTGAATAACTAAAATGGAGTTAGGATAATTAGGATCTATTAAATCCCAAGGATCATATGTCCATGCTTATATTTCATGGGTTTTGCAATCACTAGCATCCCTCTAATCAGGGGCGGATCCAGGATTTTATGTTAGGGGGCGCAAAGTTAAATTTTCGCCGAGCAGAATAATTTTTTGCAAATTTTAAGGGGGGCGCACGCCCGCCACGCCCCCGCCTGAATCCGCCCCTGCTCTTCTTTAAAAAAATGAACAAATACTTACTTATCCTTATTTGTGAGCAATATCTTGAAAATCAAAACACTGAAATTTTATTTAATTTGTTTATAATTTGTACTGGTATACATATATAGATACCCTTAGAGGATTGTTTATTCCCGAGCGTATACGCCATAGAATAGAGAATGGAAACGGATTGCAAGAAGTTGTGACTATAGAGCACAATGAAGGAGACTGGAGAATAATACTTTCTGTTGTTACAGTGCGAGGACTTTAGAACCGTTCATAAGGATATTTAATTGAATTTCAAATATGATGAATGGAAAAATGTTTATCTGCAATTTGACATCTCCTGACTTGTTTCATTGTATAAAGCAGACTAAATAAAGTAAAAATCGTAAGTGTTTATACCATCAAAAGCCTATACCTGAATATCAATAACAGAAGATGAAACCATACAAATCGATCGCAATGCCTATTTTTTTTTTAAATATGTCTCAATATTCGAAATTCGGAATGACGTCCAAAATAACGAACCAAGTGTTTAATTAATGTAACTTCAAATTTGATTAGTATAGTTTCTGTTGCACTCGAGTAGTTTTATATGCACTGAAATTTAAATATAAATGAGAAATAAGTAGCCCATGATCGATGATTCTGAAAAGTCTAAACTGAAATGAAAGCCTTTAAAAAGTATGAGATAAAAATGTCATCTTACACTTATCCGTTAACTTTTTGATAAATATATATGTAATGCTGGTCAAATAAATAAAGTTTTACCTGCAATGATGCCGTAGGTTACTAACAATACATTTAAATTTTTGGCAAAGAAACTGGCACCAAATCCAATGATGATTAAAGAACTACCAATCATTATGGAAACTCTGCAGCTTGTCAAATTGATAGCTATACTTGCAAGTGGCCCTTAAAAACATCATAAAATTGATATTTGTAATAACATATACAATCTATGAGAAACCACAACACAAATTCGTTCCAAATTGTCTTTTCTCTTTTGATATTTGTGTACCGATCTTGTGAGTCAAGCCTTTTTCAACTGATTCTTGTGTTGTTTCGCAACTGTCCCATGAAAGGGAGAGTGTTGAGCGCTAGCAAACATGTTTAACCTTACCACATTCTTAAGTGACGGTCCAAAATCAGGACCCTGTAATTCAGTGGTTGTCGATAGTTGCTATTATCTGCTGTAATCGTTTTTCGTTTATTGTTGTTGTAATAATCAGGTCGTTGGTTTTTAATAATTCAAATTGTTTCACGTGCACGTGTTGTCATCCCTGGCCTTTTATGAATTACTATACGCTATGGGTTTTGCTCATTGTTGATGGCCGTATGGTAACCTGTAATTGTTCACGTCTTTGTCTTTTGGTCTTTAATGAATCCTATAGTAGTTGTCTCATTGTCAACCATATCACATCTCCTTATTTTCATACTTATAACTTAGTATTAAATGCATTTCTATAGAATTCAAAGTAAAATCCCTTAGTAAAAAACAGCAAATAAAAGAAATCAGCCAGTTATACGTATACATATTTTGTAGAAATGATAAGATATCTCATTTTGCATACAGCAAGGGTTAACTTTATACTTTCTTATAATAATCAATCTAGGATTATGATTGTAACTAATTGTTTCTGCAAACTTTTGTTTAGAACTCATCATATATTCTTTTCGTCATTTTAACTATTGAAATACTATATTTAATCACCTCTTGGCGTTCATTATGACTGAATTAATCTTATTTTTTCATATATCTTGAAACCTTGAAATCTTATACTTGAAACGTAAAATTAGTCAATATTTACATTGGTAATTTAAACAACGGAAAAAAGATAATATTTCATCCCATCAGAAATTGTATTTGTCGTTGTAAGAAGAATAATCATTAATTTTGAAAGAAAATATATCATTCATTGTAAAAATTCTAAATACCACAAATGAGATATTTAGTTAGATATTTTCTTTCAATTATGTTATATGAGTTTGAAAACATAGTATTGTTATTTTTCAACTATCTTTGTAATTAATACATTAAATCGAGTTTGAATACATTTTCGAAGTAAAATAAAATTATATTCGTACCAAGTAAGCAAAGTATATTTGCAAAAAGAGATCCTATTAAAGCTGTCTTTGCCACATCTTCTTTGAAGTAATCGAGGAGACCGACGTGAATTATTCCTGAAGCATAAGTCATGGCTCCATTCAGAAACTGTGCTCCGATTGCTCCAATTAAACACAACCAAGCGTGCCCTTGATCAACATCTCTCATTGTGTGGCACCTAAAATGAAAGCGAATAAAGATAAGGTTATCTCCTGGTCCTCCACCATGAGTATAATCTTACACCTACAACAGACCATATGAAGGTCAAGAAGATTCCATATACAAGGATAAATGTCTCTCTCACTGCAGAATACAATCAAAGTACTGAAGTGCTGAACATCGGATGACCGCAAGTTCTGGTGGATAGTCACAGGCACTGGTCTCAGAAAAAATAAAATATCTCTATACAAGTTAGGTTAAGGTACATAGATTCATTTTTTTTTCTGAGACAAGTACCTGTTTGGATGCTGAATAAATGACAGAGAATTCAACCTCACCGTAATAATTATTATATTGTAGTGATATAATCATGGGACAATCATTTGTTATCAGTATAATCTGGTTTGTTGTTATATATTAAACACTGGACACTTTTAATTTGCAAAACACTCATTTGCAAATCCGCCGCCGCCTCTCCTTAGAGCTACAGTGTCGTGTATATAACCAAAATGTGCGGAATTACATGGGATTCAATAAATTCATTGCTTTTCTGCTGTCATTATTATATATATTTTTTTATTTGATTTAGAAAAACATGGGATTTTCAATATCCCATGGGATAAGGCAAATCCCATGGGATTGACCATTATCCCATGGGATTTTGGTTAAATCCCATAGGATTTTTTTGGGTCCCATGGGATAATTGTAGTCCCATGGGATATTTGTTGTCCCATGGGACAAAAAAAATCCCATGGGACTATAATTATCCCATGGGATTTTTAATATCCCATGGGACAAAATAAAATCCAATTAATCCTATGGGATTCAAATTATAAATATACAGTAATGTGTATGTTACAATGAATTCTGTTTGGTAGTAAATTGTTTTAAGATGAATCTTTTTAGTTGAATATCTTTTTTTCCTTGGAAATGTTAATGCAATCATATTGTTCTATAATTGTTCAAAACTAAACTTTTAAACAAAAAAGCAGATAATGTAAGTATCAATATATGTTTATTTATGAATTCTAGAATACTTTTTTGAACACACAATTTTTTCCCATTTGGAATCAATGAAAACTCTATTATTAGGCTTAACATACTAGTAGCTTTTTACATAAATCTAATTTTTTTTCAGGATATCCCTCCATCCAAAAAAATTAATAGTTTCTTATCATCCAGCATTGTTTGATCTTAATGTATAGTCCACTTTTTTGGCCATTCAGCACAGAACATTGTCATTATTGTAGTTTTAATATCTTTAGATATTTAATAGAACTTCGATTCATTGACTGAGTGATGAAAATAATAACTGATCTGACATTTGTCTTTGAATTTATTCTGGTCTTGTTTCTGTGTTTTCTCCTTTTATTCTAAGTGATGAATTTCAATCCTTCTGAAAAAGAACCAATAAAATCCAAAGTTATGCATTATAAAAAATTGTTTGCATACATGTAGCAATAACATATGATTTTCAATAAAAATAGCTATGCGGTATGGATTTTACTGATTGTTGAAGGTTGTCCAGTGTCATCAGTTGCTAACCTCCTACATCCTTTGGTCTCTGATGGAGAGTTGTCAAATTAGCAATATACCACATCTTCCTATTCTAATATTATATAACAATCAATTTATGTATTCTTCTTTATAACATTTGGGTATTTTCCCCAGTTATATATATATATATATATATATATAGATCAATGTTAAAACTTTAGGCAATTACAATAACATTCCATTTTTCACAAGAATTTGCAATATATTATACAAAACGCCAACAATAGAAACAGCACTTCTTTAAGCTTCTGAAGTTCTGAAAGAGTTCCACTTGTGTTTTATTTCAATGAGAAAATACCTTGAACTCTTTTGACATGTTGGAAATTATAACATTGATACAAAAAATTATATTGTTTTTTTTTCTTATTTTTGTGTTGTTCGGTTGCTGTCTCATTTTTATATATGGTTATACATATATCCTAAATCTTCTTTTTGTTAACACTTAATTATTAATAGTAAAAATGGGATATTTTTTATTTTGATAATCTCAAAACATTATTATTCTATCAAATAACTTATTTCCAAGTTCACAAAACACCAATGTGTCAGATATTAATTTTAAGACGTGTATAAACATGATCAACAAGCAGTTGACAGGATGTCATGCAAAAATCTCACTAATATTAAACTTTCACAAAAACTCCATACTCAGCGAGTACTATTAAAGTTCTTAGTACAGGACAAATTCCTAGTACAGGACACCATGCCTGGCAAACACTAGCATGTGTCAATGTCTCTACATCTAGTCAATCATGTAATCAGGCTCAAAATCTTAGTTTGGCACTGAATTTAAAAGTTCACCACATAATGAACATGTGTATGAAATTCAACTTCATGGTAAGCTATGTACCTTAACCTAAAACTTTAACCTAAGAATGTACTATAATTTCACATTATGACATTTCTATGTTCAGTGATCCATAAAATCAGGGTAAAAACAGTAAATGTGGTGTATAATGTATAAACAAGAGAGCACACGCTGAAATGTTGCGCCTTCTTTACTAATCATTGATATCATGTTGATAGTCCTAAATATAAAGCTTTACTACAACTATCACATAAAATCAACATGATCCAAGAAAATGAATTCAAGGTCATATAAACCCGACAAGAAATACATGTACACCTTACAATCATTCAATATACTAAATACAGTTGACCTATTGCTTATAGTTTCTAAGAAGCAGACTTAAACAAGAAAACTAAACATTGACCAATGAACCATGGAAATGAGGTGAAAATCTAATGAACCATGCCAGGCAGACATGTACAGCTTACAATCCTTCCATACAACACATATAGTTGACCTATTGCTTATAGATTAAGAAAAACAGACCAAAACACAAAACCTTAACACTGAGCAATGAACCGTGAAAATGTCAAATAAAACCTGCGAGACTGACATGTACATCATAAAATGTTTCCTTACACCAAATATAGTTGACCTATTGCATTTAGTAATAGAAAAAAAGACCAAAACTCAAAAAATTAACTTTGACTACTGAACCATTAAAATGAGGTCAAGGTCAGATGACACCTGCCAGCTAGACATGTACACCTTACAATCATTCCATACACCAAATATAGTAGACCTATTGCATACAGTATAAGAAAAACAGACCAAAACACAAAAACTTACCTATAACCACTGAACCATGAAAATGAGGTCAAGGTCAGATGACACCTGCCAGAAGATGTGGTATGATTGCCAATGAGAAATCTCTCCACAACAGACCAAATGACACAGAAATTAACAACTATAGGTCACTGTACGGCCTTCAACAATGAGCAAAGCCCATACCGCACAGTCAGCTATAAAAGGCCCAGAAATGACAATGTAAAACAATTCAAACGAGAAAACTAATGGCCTAATTTATGTACAAAAAATGAAACGAAAAACAAATATGTAACACATAAACAAACAACAACCACTGAATTACAGGCTCCTGACTTGGGACAGGCACATACATACAGAATGTGGCGGGGTTAAACATGTTAGCGGGATCCCAACCCTCCTCCTAACCTGGGACAGTGGTGTAAAAGTACAACATAAGAACGAACTATAATAAAATGCTTTGCTGAGCGCAGCCTGATACGACCGCAGAGGTCGATCCCTGAACAGTTGGGGCCATTCGGACACAATATTCAAGCTTGATACTGTCTGAATTTGGATTGTGATCAAATTTTTGACATAATATAGGTTTCTGACACAAAATAAATGTGGTCAAAGATCTTAAAAATCTATTGCGCAATACTTTCAATTGAAGATTTCTTCTTGAAACTTTTCAAAAAATTTGAAATTTCAAAAATATTGAAGAAAAAAAATTGGGAAAAAAAATCCTCCCCCCCTTGGAGTAATTACCCCCAAACTCAATCCAAGCCTTTCCTTTGAGGTATGGAACCTTGTAGTACAATTTTAGAGAGATCCATACACTTAAACACAAGTTATTGTCTAGAAACTAGAAAAATGCTTGTTTTTGGCCCCTTTTTGCCCCTAATTCCTGCATGTTTGGGGCAATTACCCCCAAACTCAATCCCAGCCTTCCCTTTGTGATATGGAACCTTATGGTACAATTTCAGTGAGATCCATACACTCACACACAAGTTATTGTCCGGAAACTACAAAAATGCTTCTTTTTAGCCCCTTTTTGGCCCCTAATTCCTAAACTGTTAGTACCATAACCATCAAAACTAATCACAACTTTCCTTTTGTGGTATTAAATCTTCTTGTAAAATTTCATAGAGATCCATTCACTTAAACTAAAGTTATTGGCAGGAAACCAAATGTGTCTTCAGATGACGATGACGCAGACGACGACGACAACATCATAGCATTATACGAACCCAAAAAAAAATTTTGCGGTCGTATAAAAATCAGTTGAAAGAGGCTTAACTCATCAGATAGATAAAAATACTACAAATACAAGTGGACGTGGCCGGGTACTTGTACATCCAAACAACAAAAAGACACTAAGTACAGATCTGAGAGTATTCACAGTTACTGACAGCTAGTTCAAAACCACTAACAACTAATAAAAAAATCATGCATCTAAGACTGTTCTTGTTTACTGATCCATGAAATGAGGTCTAGGTCAAGTGAAAACTCTCTGAAGAGCATGAGGACCTTGCAAGGTACACACATACCAAATATAGTTATCCTATTACTCATAATAAGAGAGAAATTAACATTACAAAAAATCTGAACTTTTTTTTCAAGTAGTCACTGAACCATGAAAATGAGGTCAAGGACAATGGACATGTGACAGACAGAATTCGTATCATGAGGCATCTATATACAAAGTATGAAGCATCCAGGTCTTCCACCTTCTAAAATATAAAGCTTTTAGGAAGTTAGCTAATGCCACCGCTGGATCACTATCCCTATGTCGAGCTTTCTGCGACAAAAATACATGAACATTTTAAAGTACTAAATTTTTAGTATATACATGTAAAACCACAAGT